AGGTTAAGAGTTAACCGACATTTGTGGAACTGGCCCTTAAGGTCAAATCCATATTTCCATTATTTGTCCCCCTTAATATCCTACAACTTTTGTCTGAAACGTTTTTCCATATCTAAAGCTGTTTCCGAGATCCAGGGATGAGCTGTCAGACTTTAGATTCATCCTGTATACAAGAAACATACACGATTCCACTTCAATGCATATTGCACTTTATTTGATACCGTCTGTACCTATATACATAAATATGCATAATATTTAACATTAAATAGTAAAATATCCCTGTTAATTTAAGTATACAATAAGTCTACCAAGAGAAATATTGTCCGATAAATAATTCCTTTGTATGCGATATATGTGATTAATTATCATAAATTATAGTTTATTCTACACGCAGTATGGATAAGTCAACATTATTATACTGTATTAGTAGAATACATCCAATTATATAATATCCACAGCACACCAATAGAGATGAAAATTTCCACTAATGTAACGAACAGATATACTCTAAAAATAGAATAAATGTGATTAATATATTGTACATATTAAAATTATTTGAATTATTCTGTTTATAAACAGAAATTTGTATAAATTATATTTAATATGTACTAAAGATTTTATATTAATGCTTTTTCTCGCTTCTTTCTAAAATATTTAGATCACACAATATTCATTCATAGTATACATATATAATTTATAATTAATATTAATATAAGTAATTATTACAAATATCTTACTCTATCGCTGAATTAATAAATAATATATTAAACTTGCAATAAAAGTCTTGAGGTTTCGACATATTTATCTAAAGTGTGATGCCATAATTATAACTATAAATCATATGTATATCTACTTTTTATACACTAGATTCGTTTCCGAGAAGATTTTTATTTTTTATTGCGATTATATGTTATCTAATAGGAGCCAAGCATTTAAATGCCATGCATGATTATAAAAATGTGTAAATAATAATAAATGCTGTTTATAATATATTTTACCTGTTCCTGTGTGCTTTGGCTGCATCCAATCGATTCATGTCTTCGTGACGAAGAAACTTTTTGCCACCCACGTTACAAATCCTTCATATCGTAAGACAAATATTTATTAGCTTTAATTATTTTCAGTGTAAACGTTATTCAGAATGAAAAATATAATAAACTTACTTCAAGTAATGTCTAATATCGTAATCGGAATAATTCATTAAAAACATATCCCGGTCATCAGGTGATATTGAGCACATCAGAGGTGACATATTCGTATTGCTGTATTTCCATTCGTGGAACGAAAAGTAACTTACAGCACGATTGGCCACGTACAGATTTCTCATCAGTCGCATTAGTCTAATTTTAATATTACTCATTAATAATTTAGTTATAACTACACAGCTTCAATCATAACATATTACATATAAGTTTTAAAGTCCGATTAAAATAAAATAAATGTATAAGAAACATGTTTAAAAAACATATTTAAAAAACATTTATATAGATATGTTGTTAAGTATAAAAATTTCATCTAAATATATGTAGAAAAGATAGCTAGATAAAGAAAAACAATACGTAAAATAAATTTCTAGACTAATATTAAATAAAAATACTATTTTATTGGAAAAAAAACTATTATTTTGCTATTATTGCGGAGCAAATCCGTCAATTAAATTAAATACATGCAGAAATTTAGTTATTATGAATTTACTAAGCTTATAGTTAAATATTTAATTCGAAACTTACAAAGGTCGACGTCCAAAGAATTTTGAAACGAAATCTATTAACATAGCTGGCAAAATATGCCATAATATCGTTAATATGTAAAACAGAATGAAATTATCGGTCAATATTGTATTAGGAGTCCAGATAATTCCTTCAAAAGGTGTCTCATGTGTGACACTGAATAGCGTTCTTATAACATTTTGATGAGTCATGTGTTTCTGAGTCGTACAGTTTAAAACAAAAGGTGTGGAACTCTCTGTAAATCTGTATAATAATAAACAAAATTATACATTATTAAATAAAATAAATAATAATAAATTTACAACTTACAGAATTTCGTATAATCTGCAGTTTTGTATAATCTTGAGTTTCAGAAAGAAGACTAATACTTACGAAATGTCAAATTGTGCTAACACATATAAATATTATTAAAGAGTAGTAATATTATAAAATGTTTCGGCGAAATAATGGCAAAAAGATAAAAACATACAAAAATAGTTATTAAATTATTTAAAAATTGTCAGTTTCTTTTAAAGATGTAAATAATTTTATCAAAGAATATGTTTTCAAAATCTAAAGTGCAAGCCTTTCAATAAAAAGTAAAAAATATAATAAACGTAAGACTGAAAAGACACTAAATAGTCGAAATTCGCATTACAAATGTGTAGTAAAAATCATATTTTTGAATAATTTCATACATTAAATGCATAATATTGCACGATTCTAACTTCTGCAACCATAGGCTTAGTATTCCGCTAATAGCATTTCTCTTTAGACTTAATAAGATAGTGCTGTGTGAATCCGACAAACCAAGTTGGCTCACAGTTTTTCAATGTTTATATCGGAAAGACGTTATATATTGCCAGTCTTGGTCGATTTAAAATTACTTTACTTGAATTAATAAGATAGATTAAATATATTTTAAACAAAATGTATATAACCATATTGTAAACATGTATTGATATAATTTCAAATAGAGAAAATAAGCTATCGTATTTATAATTTAATATAGTTAAAAATGCATGCGTTGATAATTATACCTGGTTAATCCTAGCTTCCAAGATACAGCAATTATAGCTTTAATGACAAAGTCTACTGGCACTGAATTTTCAGTAACATGCTTATTACAACAGGCTACTCGTATTACTCCCTTTCCGCCACCAACGTAAAGTCCTATTGGACCATAAACGTTATCTATCCATCCCGGGACTGGGTCTTCTAGCGTTGGCATCACTAAAATATGAGATACATTTGTCTATTAATGTTAGATTATTACTTGAAATATTACTTTGTAATATTATTAAACTATTTCTTGCCCATATATTATCAAATAAAATGAGAAGAGAGAAGTTGTAGAATCTTATACATATATATTTATATTTATTCAATTTCTATTTATTTTAATTTCTGTAAGAAAGCTCAAACATATTTATTTATTAGCAAAAACGTTTGTAAAAAAAACATATTTGTCCTATTTGATTATATTATAAAAAACACATGAAAAATAGATCTTCTAAAAAATCTGTATTAAAACTTAAATTATTTTAACATGCGTTTTCTTTCTATTTATTTTCTATTTAATATTTAATATCGTTATCATCTCCTTCCCTCTTTACAAGAAATTATACTTTATTAGTACAACTATTTTATTTCAAGACAATATAAAACAAAATACTGGAGGTACAAATATTCGGCATACTTTATAATGATGTATTTAAACAAAAATTTATTTTTAAAAATTAAAAGAAAGACTACGTACCCACAGAAGGTCTTACAATCGCGCAAGGTAAGGAAGAAGAGTATTCCTGTATTACACTCTCTGCTAGGTTTTTCGAAAAAATATACGTGTTGGGAAAGTAATCCAAACATCTATACATAATGTCAAGTATATAAAAAATTAAAAATTTGAATATTATCAACAGTACGATGTAAAAAAAATAGTTTTAAAAAACAAAAGAATAACTATATCTAATAATAAATAATATAATAACAAATATATACAATAATATAGTAATAAAATAATAATTCTGAGAAAACATATCTAACTATAAAAAAATTGTAATTACAATTTCCATTTACTTAGCTGTCATTCAATTTAACAACTTATAAACCTACTTAGCTGTAAAGATGTTTAAAATATGTTCATCCAACGATTCAGCTATTTCAATCATCTTCTGCCAATCAGCTATAGGTGGATATGCTTTTTCTTCAATAAATTGCTTATCCACATGTGCGAATGCTGTACTGACATATACTAATGCCTTTAACAGATAAATAGAATCCACTTGAAAATTATACTTTTGAAAAACTTTCTTCAACATACAAAAATTTGTAATATAACAATAGGTAATTAATCTATATTGATTAGATACTGATATATTATGATATCTTAATCAGGCCTCTACATTTTTCCAAATTTATTTTGTTTAAACTATTATTAACTTAAAAATGCGACATAATAAGTATTTGGGAGAAAATTTGTGATTAAAATATGAGTTATCGCGCAAAAATATTACCTAAAATATGTCATATGATGAAATGGATTATTCATGAATACAAATGCACAATCTTTGTTAATCTGATTGAGTAAGAATTACTTACTTTTACATTCTTCATACTTTGAGCTAAAATACAGATATCTCTCGTTGCTCTAGTATTGACAAATATGGAGTATTTTAAACTGTCATTAAATCTCACACTTGCCGCTCCATGTATTATTATAGTCACTCTTTCAATCAACATTTGTCTGTCCGCATCCGACAAACCTAATCCTTTCTCACTAACATTGCCAGAAATCGGAATTAATTTCTCGAAATTTGAAGGTCGTTCTTCGCGCAGTTTTTCATATAACTGAAATAGAAGTATGTTATAAATTATAAAGATGTTTTTATTAAAATAATTACAGTAACTTTTAAGATAATTTGAATAAAACATTAGAAGGATAGAACGTGTAATGACGTTTACAACATTTTACTCTAAATGCATTCCAGTATTTTATTACATATCTATTTAGAAAGTGTTAATGTTAAAAGTAACTGTCTTTAATAATGACGTTATTATAGCGTTTAGAAAAGAAATTTATTTTACCATACGTTGAAATATGTGATACAATGATATTAAAAATCTCAATAATTTTAAAGAAATGCGTCGTTACAAAAAGTTTCTCTTTCCATATCAAACTTACCGGTAAATTCAACATTTGTTGGAGCCTTTCGTTAACATTTAGTCCTTTTTTTGAACGCATTAACAGAAATATTTCACGAACATCTGGGCACGATCGCAATATCTTTTCAATAAACACTTTACCCAGAAATCCTGTTGCACCTGTCACAAATACACTTTGTCCAGCGTAGAATGCTGGGATCGATTTGGCCGGATCAATTGTCATCTTATTTATTACTTTTAAAACAAAACTAATATTAACAATGACAACTCAGCAACATGTGGGTACTGAAACACTTAGAATCATTGTCTCTTTTATTATATCGAAAAAGAAATGTAGATAGAAATCGAATAAATCACTTGTGATTCGCCATTGTAATCAAACGTGACGCGAACGCATGAAGTATTGCGCAAGTAGTAACCAAAATCAGCTACCACTTGCGCAAGAACTGAATTATTTCTGTTTTATAGCCAATCAAATCAATGGAACTACTTGTGATTTAACCAACAGGAAATGAAATGCAGTTTAAAGTTGAAAGATCAATCATGCAATACATGTTACAATATTCCAAATTCCAAGTAGCAGAATAATTAACGTCTAAAAGCGTCTTAACTGAAGGCGTATTATTGACGTCAGAGACATCATGAGACCTTATTAATGCGTTATTTTATATGTCATCCCAGGTAGCAACCTGGGATACATATATGTTTTATAATATGGCAGTAAAGATTAAGTATAAAATAAAATATATTTTATATTGTATTTTAAATTTTTACGTCATTGCATTTTTATTTATAATTATTTGCAACGCATATTGTTCATATAGATTTAAATATAATATTATAGTGTTAGATAGAGAGAGAAATATATATAAGTATATATATATAGCTCTTTATTTCATTTTCGTACACTGACGGGTGTTTTCATATTGAATTAGTTATAGCGATCTTACTGACTCGTTTTTGACATTATTTAAACGTTTTATTTCGCATCGAGGAAAGTCAGATTCCATACATTTTGATAATGGTACTACCTACTTTTGTAGACTCTTCGCGTAAATTATTATTATGAATTTTATAATTAGAAGAACACACAGAGTGTCATAAAACAGTATTGCGGCGAATCAGGGATATCATGGCATTTTATTCCATCCAAATGCTCCACATTTCGGTGAACTTTGGGAAACAACGGTGAAACCGACTAAACAGATCATTTTAAGAGTAGCAGGCAATGCTCATTTCACCTTTGAAGAGTTACACACTGTACTATGTGAAATAGAGGCTGTACTAAATTAACAGTATTGAGTTCCAATCCAAATGACTTGAGCTATCTTACACCGGGATATATCTTGACGATGCACTGAATGATTCTCCCTGTCATGACCTTCAGGTCATTCATGACGTTGATTAGAATCGTCCTTACATTGGCAAAAAGTGGAGCAGCTTCGTTAGCATTTCTGCAGCCGCTAGAATCTTGAATATTTGAACCATCAGTTACAGCAGCGGCATAAATGGACTATGAATAAAGACAAACAATTGCAACCTGATGAGCAGCTAATACTGACCATGGTTAAACAATCTGGTCTTCCTCCACTTCATTGATGGATATTAGATCGACTAAGAACATTCATCCGGGATCAAACGAATTTGTAAGTTTTGCAACTTTGACTACACGTCTAAAGGATGTCAGGATTACATGTCAGGCCATTATCAAGACTGTCCATTTTACTACTTGACAATTAATATTATTCATATTATGTACAATTTAAATTATACAATTTATATTAGCTTTTGTTGTAACTTTACATAATCTCTTTGTAATTAATTGACATGACATCTTTGATGATTAATATTGTTTATTGTAAATATTGAGAGACATTGTATTCCAAGGTGTTTTGTATTCTCTTATAAATTTAAATCATTTGCTTTAACGCTTTTATTGCATTGACATTTTGGTATATCAATCGTGACTTTTCGTCAATTCGGAATTGTAGGAACTCGCTTAAGAAGCTTGTCGGTCACGATTGGCTTTTTTTAGTTTAGATCGGTCTTGTCCTTGCTCCAAGCTAATCATTATTATAATACACAAACACTGCCCGCAGTCGAGATATACAAAAATAAATGAATGACTATAAGCATTTTCAAGAAAGTTAATCTGCCTTTTCTGACCGATCCATTCACATCCTCAAATTTATTAGCCAGTAGAGGTCCAACTTCGTTTGTGTTCTCCTGGATCTACCAGAGGCTTGCACAAAGTAACATTTAACACACCATATCATCCTAAGAATTACTTTAAAGAGAAACGAATAAATAGCATCTTCTAGTAAATGTGTGTATAAATTATGTAATTTTCTTTATTTTAATGTTATTAAAACGAATTACTACAATAGCTATAAAGCAAGGTTTAACAACTTGTATTTTCTAATAAATATTATTAGTAGTTAAATTTTTCATTATATTATTTTCAATATTGTATAAATATCTATATACATGTAACATTTGTAATATGTGTGTGTGTGCATGTATAAATTAAATTTAGAAATAAATAAAATCAGTAATCATATGTCTATTTTTTATTTATCATTTGGCGTGTCTTATTTTAAATTAGATTTATAAATTAAATCAGTAAAATAAAAATTTATTATAAACTAAAGCATAAAAGACTGTGAATTACTTATATTAAATAGCAAAATCTTTTATTACAAGGTATACAAAACTTTAACAGTCTTGAAACAATTTTTCAGAGCGACTTAATTATTTAAAGAAATTGAAGTGATTTAAGGAATAAGAGATGATGGTGATGGGAATTATAAATTATCATTTTGAATTTTTGTACAGTTAATCGAGTCGTAATCAGGCGCCAATTTGACTCGCGTCGTGTCGCGTGACGTCACTGTGAACTTGGCGCGCTCGGAAATCACTCTCGAAAGTCTCGAATCTCTCGCTGTCGCGAGCGAAACGTCGCGGATACAGGACGGATCTATTCATCACGGGATATGTTTAATTGGTAAGCGCAATTGCGAGCGCGTTATGAGTTTCGTATTCAGTCGTGTCTTAACATTTGACACTCGTATCGTGCGACGTATATTCGACGCTTGGTACATACGTCGCATAAAATGAGCATCTCGCGAGATGTGTTCGGTTGAGGTTGAGATCTATCGCGAGGCATTACGGTAAAGATGGCGCACAGCGGCGTCACCCGCCCCGCGACACCCCGCGTCATTCTCGAATCTCTCGCCGTCGCGACGTCGCGAACGAAACGTCGCGGATACAGGACGGATCTATTCGTCGCGGCATGTTTAATCGGTAAGCGCAATCGCTATGAGCTACGTAGTCATCAGTCGTGTCTTAATATTTGACATTCGCGCGATGTAGATCTGACGCTCGGTACATCGCTGGGACAACGAATATTTCGCGAAATGCGTTTGATTGAGATCTGTCGCGCGAGCAGTCGAGAGAGCAACGTTTGTATTTTCCGGATATCGCGTTCCGCGAGCGTTTTATTCTCAACTTTGACTCGTACGCTCCATTCATCTGTTTTGTAACACGCATTCTAGTCGAAGTTTGAGTGGTGCGAATGATTGACGTTGGGCATGTCGTATACAGTTAATCAAGCAATCGTATAACAGTTAATATTGTGTTTCAGCGAGTGTTGGATGAGCGCCATGAAGGAATGGCCACAGAGGGACGAGGGAGGAGAGGAGAAAGAGGAGGAGGCTGTCCGGGGAGGCGTCGAGCAACGGCGTCGAAGCAACGACGAGGTGAGCAATTTATTTATTTCATACACATATAAAATGGGTCAGTTACAACAGATTAGGATAAGTTTAACTTTGGATGCTTCTTTATTATTATGTTTATCATGCATTTATTAATTAATTTACTTTGCGTACGAGAATGTACTCATATAAAAATTGTATAAAATAATTTTTTACAAATATAAAATATAAAGAAAATAAAAGGTAGAAAACACAAATAAAGGTTTAACAATTAAAATGTTAAATTTTTTTAATTAACTGCTCTAATTTAAGTTTACTAATGGTATTTATGTCTCGTGATCAACAAATAGAAAGTATAAAATATTTATATAATTTTATACGTATAAATGCTTATATATATAAGTATCAAAGATTATAAACGTCTTGACGATTAATCGGGCAAAATCAATGGTCGAATCGTCACGACGATAAAAATTATTGCCAGTCGGATCAGGCCGATTCATACGTCTTAGTTATTATTTCGTACTGGCGAATTACAATTGCATTGAATTTGATACACCTGGCCTAGTAATGGTGCTCCAACCGAATAAAAATTTCGGTGTTTCCATCTTCTATTATTATTTCTCTAATATAAGTTATTGCGATAAATATTACCATATGCCTCAGTGGTCGAATTGGTACGACACCTTCACGGAATGAAGGAGGTTCCAGGTTCGAACCCTGGCTGAGGTAATATAATCTTTGATACTTATATATATAAGCATCAATATTTAATTTAAAATTATTTTAAAAATGAGATGCTCATATATATAAGTATCAAAGATTATAAACGTCTTGACGATTAATCGAGCCAAAATCAATGGTCGAATCGTCACGACTATTGTATAAAATTGTATAAAATGTAATTGTATAAAAAATTGTAAGTCTAATTTGTGTAATCTGGATTAAATTTTTCTAAATTAAAACGTTATTAAATATATATTTTTAAAATTTTTTATTTTATTCTCTTTTAATAGCGAAATTATCGCCAATTTTTTTATAATGTACAATAAGAATTTTTTATCTAAATAAAAATACAAAGATTTGATTGAAAGATGCTAAGCTAGTATCATAAATTATAGTATCATATATTATAATATATACTATAATTATAGCTAGTATCATATAATTATAGCTAGTATCATATATTATAATATATACTAGTATCATAGATTGTCATACATGCAATATGCGTAAATCAGCAATTTTATAATTTATAATGTTTAACAATAGATCCATTTATGTATCAACCACAGTACTCCGATAGAGACCATACTCTTCACCATTTTAACGAACAGATGTACTCTAAAACAACACAATAAACATATTATACATATCCCAATTATTTCGATTATGCCTCTTACACAGTAAATTACGTTAATTCAGTTTTCTTACATAACACGTATTAATGCTTTTATATCAATAATCTTTTCTTCTTCTATTTTTTGAATTATTTACGTCATGCATATCATACAGCAGTATGAAAATTATGATTAACATTTCTACAAGTAATTATTGAAAGTGTCTTTCTCGCTAAGATAAGAAGAAGAAATATGATTTTAAACTTTTAATCAAGGTTTCGAATTTTTCGACATTTTCTGAAGTGGAATAAAATTATAATTATAAATTATATAGCTGTTTCTTACATAATGAAATTATTTTATCTGTTAGACGAAGAGAAATCGGATATTTAATCCCCATTATTATTACACAACATCTAATGGATGATTTCACAAATATTCATGAATGTAAATATGCATAACCGAAACCAAATACAGTAAAATATATAATATTTATACCTTTTCCTGTGTGCTCTGGCTGCATCCAATCGATTTATGTCTTCGTGAAGAAGAAATTTTTTGCTACCAATGATGCAATTTCTTTATATCGCAATATAAAACATTTATTAGTTTTAAATCGCTTTAATTGTAAAAATAATATAGGATAAAAAATGTATACATTTACTTTGCGTACGCCTTCAAATCGCAATTAGAATAATTGAAAGAAAACGTATTCCAGTCATCAGGTGATATTGAGGACATCAGAGCCAAACTATTTACATTGCTGAATTTCCATTCATTACATCCATAATATCCCAAAGCACGATTAATCACGTACACTTTTCTCTGCAGCCGTACTAGACTAATTGCACGTTACTTATTAATCCAAAACAGTTCAGTTATAACGATACATTTTTAACTATAGGTATCTAGTATTAAATCTGTAGAGTCAGAATCCGCAATAAAACAATGCAATAAAAATTTTTCTAAATATATTTTTTTATAAATATATTAGAATATTACAAAGCGCGCTCTTCACGCGAGCCATTTATTCTCGAGCATTGTATGTATATTTTTAATAACATGTATTAAATTCAATTTTCACATTTATTTGACATCACGCATCAGGATAACCAAAATCATTCACGATAAACTTATTTGTGAATTGTCATTCCCACCCTGATAGTTATTCTCGCATCACGAAGCGAGCCAAGCGAGAATATTAATCAGCATCGCGGAAAAGAAACAACAATAAATACGATAAACAAGTGAAGAGAAAGCTAGATGGCAAAGAGAAATATATACGCAAAGTAGCCAAGGATAATTTATAATGAAAGAAAAATGTTTTCCTAAAAAAAGTATACTATTTTAATTTGCGGAGTATCCAAATCTTATCGTTTGGATCAAATGTATGAATAATTTGCACTTGTTAAATTAGTTAAATATTCAATTTAAGACTTACATAGGTCGACGTCCAGAGAAATTTAAAATCAGATCTATTAACATAGCTGGTAGCATATGCAATAATATAGTCAATATATAGTACAGAGTAAAATTATCAGTTATTGTTTGGTTAATAGTCCAGACAATTCCTTCAAAAGGCACTTCAGTTAATATAGTACTTAACAACTTCATAACATTTTGATGTGACATAGGTCTCTGGTTTGTACAATTTAAAACGAAAGTGAAACCTGCTGTAAAGCTAAAAGCAAACAAAATTATAAATTAAATAATAAATTAAATATAAATAATGACGGATTTATAATTTACACAAAGTTTCGTAAGATTTAAATAAAGTTTTTCAGAAATAAGATAAGAATTTGCAAAACCTCGAATTGTGCGATATACAAAATTATTAACGAAATTATTAACGAATTTTATTATACATATTTCGACAAATTATTGAATTATGTATGGAAAATATAAATATATAATAAAATTCTTATTAATTTATTTAATTAAGAAATTTTTAGTCTTATTTTATACGAAAAAAATAGAGATAAATTTATTAGATATTACAATAATAGGTATTTAAAATCTTTTAAATGCAATAATTTTAGATGCAATCATGCAAAGTAAGAAAAAGATAACGGACAACGCCTGAAAAGAGTCTGAATAGAGATGGAAATTTTTACTAATATTGAGTAAATGTTATCTGATATGCATTTTGAACAATGATATCGTATGATATAGTATGAATATTGCATAATATGTTGATATAAGCTGCACCCTTCTGTATTTTATAGGCTCATACTCAAATAAGCATTTCTCTTTAAATTTAACAAAATAGGTCGAATAAAATTTATATACGATCATGTTCGAAACATGGATAGTTCCAAATAAGAAAGCTTTTGCGTTCGTAAATTAACACAGTCACAAATGCATGCATATACTCGTATACGTTGATAGTCATACGTGGTCAATCCAATCTTCCAAGATACGATTAATATAGCTTTGATGACAATATCTACTGGAACTACATCTTCATTCAGATATTTATTACAATAGCCTACTCGTACTATTCCTTTTCCGCCACCAATAAAAAGACCTATTGGCCCATAAACGTTATCTATCCATCCTGGCATTGGTTCTTCTATCGATGATAACACTAAAATATGATACACATTTGTTTATTATTGTTAGATTATTACTTAAATCTTATAATATTAGTAAACTATCTCTTGCCCATATATTATCAAAATAAAAACAGGAGGCAAAGATGTAAAGCCCTGTAACCATATTTTTTAATTTTGTATAATCTAATTTTTTATAAAAATTATCAACAAATTTATTTGCTTATTATCAAGCAATAATATAGCCTAGTAATATATTTGACTAACTATATTGAATATACATATATTTTGAAAGTAATAAATTAACATAAATGCGTATTTAAAATATGGTAAAATTTAAAAAATATTTATATGTTCATTCTTTGCTACGTCTATATATGTATATAGTGCCCTTATCATATCATTCAGAAGAAATTACATTTCCTCAAATATTTTATTTCGAGATACTGTAACACAAAATAACGGATATACAAATATTCAGCGTTACAAAATAATGCGTTCAAATCAAAATTTATTTCTAATATTTATTGTTAGAAGAAAGGCTACATACCCATAGAAGGTCTCACAATCGCGCAAGGTATGGAAAAAGAATAATCTTGTATTACACTTTCCGCTAGGTTCTTCGAAAAAATATACGTGTTGGGAGCGTAATCCAAATATCTGTAAATAATTTCGTGTATACGCAATTAAAAATATAAATATTAATTAACAGTACGATATCAATAAAGAAATAATTCAAAGGAGATAAATTGTTCTAATATATCTAACTATACATATATAGTTTGTGATCATGATTTCCGTTTGCAACTTACTTAGCTGTAAAAATGTTCAAAGTATGCTCATCCAATGATTCGGCCACATTTATTATTTTTCGCCAATCAGCTATAGGTGGGTACACTTTTTCTTCAATGAATGGATTATTCACGTTTGCGAATGCTGTACTGACATATACTAATGCCTTTAATAGATAAGAGGAATTTATAATATTTTAATCCAGAGATACATATATCAACATTTTTCTAAATTTATTCTGCGTTTAAACTGTTGTTAAACTTAAAGAATACGTCGTAATAAGTATTTGGAAGAAAATTTACGACTAAAATATGAGTTGTTACCCAAGATATTATTTAAAGTATATCATGTGATACAATGCATTATTCATGAATACAAATCCACACTCTCTCTTACTCTGTTTGAGTAAAAATTATACTTACTTTTAAATTCTTCATACTTTGAGCTAGAATACAGATATCTCTCGTTGCTCTAGTATTGGCAAATATGGCGTATTTTAAAGTGTCATTAAATCTCACACTTGCCGCTCCATGTGTTATTATAGACACTCTTTCAATCAGCATTTGTCTGTCCGCAGCCGACAAACCTAATCCCTTCTCTGTGACATCGCCAAAAATTGGAACTAATTTCTCGAAATTCGAAGGTTGCTCATCGCGCAATTTGTCAAATAACTTAAATAAAAGTTGGAAATTATAAAAACGTCTTTATTATAATAATTGGGATAATTACTAAAATATTTTCAACAAATTTACAGTAGTAGGGTAGAAAGTGTAATGGCTTTTAAGAACATTTTACTTTAAATGTATTCCAATATTTTGTATTTACAAAATTCTAATGTCAAAAATATATAGCTCCCTTTGTTACGATGTTTTAATACTATGCCTTTAGAAAAAATTCTTTTTACTATACATTTAAATGCTTTATAACGTCTTGAAAATTTCTAAAATTGTAAAGAAATATGTCGTTACAAAAAGCCTTGTTTCATATCTAACTTACCGGCAAGTTTAATATTTCTTCGAGCCTTTCATTAATATTTAATCCTTTTTTTGGACGCATCAACAGAAATATTTCGCGAACATCTGGACAAGATCGTAACACTTTTTCGATAAACACCTTACCCAGAAATCCTGTTGCACCTGTTAGAAATATACTTTGTCCAGCGTAAAACGCAGGAATCGATTTGGCTGGATCAGTTGTCATCTTGTTTATTACTTTTATTAAAATAAAACTAACATGAACAATAACAACTTAGCAATGCAATACGCAGGTATGGAAACACTTGAAATCGTTGCCACCTCGGTTATGACGATAGAAAAATGCAAGTAAAGTTTCAATAAATGTTTGCAACTATTTATACTCTATTACTACCTACGTACGACGAATTGAATTATAATGATTTTATAGCCAATGAAATCTCTAGAACTAGTTGTGCAATAGGAAACAGGAAATGATGTGCAGGAAATTCACATAATGTAAGGTTGAAAGAGCATTCAATATATGCAATACAAAGCATTCAATACATGCTTTTGTTTCGTAATATGCAGCAGCGATGTAAAAATATATTACAATGTATCTTATATTGCATTAGATTAAAGATATAATGCAATATATTTTACTTTGTATTTTAGATGAAAGATATGATGTAATGTATTTTACACATGCCTTTAAATTAAATATATAATGCAATTATTTATTACTTTTAAACGAAATTAACGTAAATAGTAAAACTATACTTTAATAATCTAGAAATGCAAAACGTAGGTACTGAAACACTTGGAATCGTTACCTTCTTTGTTATATGTATTAATAGAGTAAATAGAGAAATGTAGAGACCGAATAAATTATTTAAGATCGACTATTACTTACATTTGCAATAATAATTACAAGAATTGAATTATTATTGTCTTATGGTCAATAAAATCTATGGAACTATCTGCGCTTTGAAAGACACGAAATGATATGCAGAATAACGTTGAAAGATCAAACATACAATACATGCAATAATATACATACTGCTTCATAACATGGCAGTAGAGATATAATGTAATATAAATTACATTTAATATTTCCTTTTATATTTTTATGTCATTGCATTTCTTTATAACTATCTGCAGCGCATACTGTTTATAAAGATTAAAATATAATATTATAATGTTATAGATAGAGAAAGACAGATAGAGGAGACCGGGAGTAAATAGCCCGCATATATTTCAGAATTTTGAAGTTGTAACTTCTCAGACAACTAATTTTGTGATTACCTGTACAAATATGATAAAGGCAGCCTTCCTCTATGTGTTAATCCCGGCCATGATTCTGTTAATCGTATATTTTATTTTGTATAATAACAAAAATACAAACATGCAGCAACGTGGTCATCTTGCCCTAATACCCTACCGGGATTTAGTTGCCCAGTAGCATAGGGTAACAAATATGGGTTTAATATATACAAATTTGATATTTGATACAGATCTTATCATCTTCTCCATTACCGTTCACATTTGCGGCATCAAATTCACGTATAAATTTTTAACGGAGCACATGAGAAGTACACGAAAGGTTTAATTAGCGGTAAAGGGAATGTTATGACACTTCCACATGCGTTTTCTTCAAATACGTATGACAATTAAATCGTGCTAGAACTGTGACAGACTGCACTAACTGTGCAGATTGTACAGACTGTTTGTCCGACAGTCACGGCGCTAGCCTTAATTATTGGCCAACCTTATCCTAATCGTTCATATAATAGTGTTGCAGACAACACTGTTACAAAGGCGCATATATAAGTCCTTTTTGTATTATATACTAGAAATATATACGATTTTACTTCAACGCATATCGCATTTTATTTGACCGTCTATATACATAAATATGCATGATATTTAGGATTAATAGTAATGTTCCCCATATTTTAAAAATACAATAAGTCTATCAAGACAAATATCTTCCCCCATTAAAAATTACTTCCCTTCTATGCGTCACATGTGTTTAATTGTTATAAATTACAGTTTTTTACGAGCAGTATGGATAAGTCATCAATTTTATAATGTATTAGAATACGCCCACTTATATAATGTCCACAGCACAGCAATAGAGATAAAAATTTTTACTGTTGTGACGAACAGATGTATTCTAAAAATAGAATAAATGCGATTAATATATTATACATATTATAATTATTTCGATTAGTTTTTTTAAACAGAAAATTGTATAAATTATATTTATTATGTACTGAAGTCCTTATATTAACTTTTTTTTTCTTTCCTTCTAAATTATTTACATCACACAATACACATTGATAATACATTTAATTTACAATTAATATTAATATAAAAGTAATTACAAATTACTCTATCACTGAATTAATAAATAATGTATTGCACTTATAATAAACCTTTAAAATTTCGATATATTTATCTGAGGCGTGATTGCCATAATTATAACTATAAATCATATACTTATTTCTATATACATATACTATTTGTTTTATCCGTTAGTTTTCAAAAAGTAATCAGATTTGTCTGCCTATTGTGATAACATGTTTTCTAAAAAAAGCCGATTTTTAACATATCATGCAATTGCAAACATGTTTAAATAATAATAAATGCTGTTTATAATATATTTTACCTGTTCTTGTGTGCTTTGGCTGCATCCAATCGATTCATGTCTTCGTGAAAGAGATACTTTTTGGCACCAATCGCACCATTTCTTTATGTTGTAAGATAAAACATTTAATGACTTTAAATTGTCTTCATTCTAAACATTATTTAGAATAAAAATATAATACACTTACATCATATAGCTTTTAATATCGTAGTCAGAATAATCCAATAAGAATAACTTATCCCGGTCATCAGGTTGTATCAAGGATATCAAAGATAACATATTCGTATTGCTGTATTTCCATTCGTGGAACGAAAAGTAACTTACAGCACGATTGGCCACGTACAGTTTTCTCATTAATCGTACTAGCCTAATTTGAATGTTACTCATAAATATGAAACAGCTTAGTTATAACAACACAGCTTTAACCATATTATTGCAGTGTTAGAATCCACAAGTACAATAAGATAGATGTACAAAGGACATTTTCATAGATATGTTGTTATATTTAAAATTTTTTCGAAATATGTAGAAAAGATAGATAGGTAAAGAGAAACTTAAATTAAAATTCCAGATTAATATCAAATAAATAAATTGCTTTAGCATTTTATCTCAATTTGCGTAAGTACCGCCGATTAAATTAAATACCTGCAGAAAGTTAGTTATTTTAAATTTGCTAAACTAGTACTAAAACTAAATATTTAATTCAAAACTTACATAGGTCGACGTCCAAAGAATTTCAAAACCAAATCTATTAATATAGCTGGCAGAATATGCAGTAACATAGTTAATATATAAAACAGAGTAAAATTGTCGGTTAATATTATGTTAGGAGTCCAGACAATTCCTTCAAAAGGCACTTCATTTGTGACGCTAAGTAACATTTTTGTAGCACTTTGGTATGTCATGTTTTTCTCTATTGTACAGTTCAAAACATAAGGTGTGGAACTCGCTGTAAAGCTATGTAATAATAATAAAAAAATTATATATTAATAAATAAAATAAATAATAATTATAATTTACAGAATTTCGTATAATGTGCAATTTTTATGTCTCAAAGATAAGACAAATATTTACAAAATGTACTACAAAAAGTTTTGGCGAATTAAAAATAAATACATAAACAACCGTTATTAAATTATTTAAAAATTGTCCAGTTTTATTTTACATGCAGAAGAATATTTAGATTTTAGATAGATCCATCAAATGATACATGCTTTCAACCTTTTAAATGCAATACTTTTAATGCAAACTAAAAATATACATAAATAAACATACGATTAAAAAGAATCTAAATATAAATCGATATTCTTATTATTAGGAACATTCAGTAAAGATGTATATTTGAACAATTACATGCTGTAAATCTTGCATAATATTGCATAATACTGGCATTTGCAACCATAGGTTTAGTATTTAACTAAAATCATTCCTCTTTAGATTTAATTTCGTATTTGTATATAACTTAATACAGTTAAAGATGCATGCATGTAAATCATACCTGGTTAATCCTAGGTTCCAAGATACAACAATTATAGCATTAGTGATAAAATCTACTGGCACTGCATTTTCAGTAACATGTTTATTACAATAGGCTACTCGTATTACTCCCTTCCCGGTACCAATAGAAAGTCCTATTGGACCATAAACGTTATCTATCCATCCCGGCATTGGCTCTTCTATCGATGACGTCACTAAAATATGAGATACATATTTGTCTATTAATGCTAGATTATTACTTAAATCCCGTAAGATTATTAAACTGTTTCTTGCCCATATATTATCAATCGAAATGAGGATAGAGAAGTTGTAAAACCATATAAACATATATTAAAAATTTTTTTTAATTTTAATTTTGTTATAAAAACCGCCAAGGATGTTAATTTATATTTGACGAACTATATTACATAAATAATATAAACATAAAAGTAAATCTACTTTTAAAATATATTAGAACTTAAAATATACATGCAATTTTCTTTCTATTTACTTTCAACGCTTTATCTTTACAAGAAGTTAATATCTAACTGTATAAATATTATATTTAAAAACAATGTAACATAAAATAATGGAGATACAAATATTCCGCATACTCCGTAACAACTTATTAAGATTTATTTCTAAACATTAAAAGAAAGGTTACGTACCAATGGGAGGTCTTACAATCGCGCAAGGCAAAGAGGAAGAATAATTCTGTATCACACTTTCCGCTAGGTTCTTCGAAAATATGTACGTGTTGGGAGCGTAGTCCAAACATCTATATATAATTTCAAGTGTATACAGAATTAAATTAATATAATAAAATATTTCAGTATTAATAAAAGTGCGAGGTAAATAAGAAAATAGTTTAAAGAAGACAAATTTTGTTTTACTATATTGTAATGACAATTACAAAAATTTGTAATGACAATTTCTATTTATAACTTACTTAGCTGTAAAAATGTTTAAAGTATGTTCATCTAACGACTCGGCCATTTTGATCATCTTTTGCCAGTCAGCTATAGGTGCATAAGCCTTTTCTTCAATAAGTGATTTATTTACATGTGCGAATACTGTACTGATGTATATTAATGCCTTTAACAGAATTTATTTGAAAAAAATGTATTTTTTAAATTTTCTTCAGCACAAAAAAATGTGTATTATAGCAATAAATAATTGATTTATATTAATTGGATATTGATACATTTTATGATATCTCAATCAGGTCTAAATTCTTCCTGATTTATTTTGATTGAAACATTATTAAGTTTGAAAAATACGCCATATATTAAGTGTTTGAGAGAAAATGTGTGATTGAAATATAAGTTGCTGCGTAAAACATGACCGAAAATATATCATGTAACGTATATTATAAATGTGAATGCAAGTGCACAATTTCAATTACTTACTTTTACATTCTTCAGACTTTGAGCTAAAATGCAGATATCTCTCGTTGCTCTAATATTGACAAATATGGCGTATTTTAAAGTGTCATTAAATCTCACACTTGCCGCTCCATGTATTATTATAGACACTCTTTCAATCAGCATTTGTCTGTCCGCAGCCGACAAACCTAATCCCTTCTCTGTGACATCGCCAAAAATTGGAACTAATTTCTTGAAATTCGAAGGTTGCTCATTGCGCAATTTGTCAAATAACTTAAATAGAAGTTAGAAATTATAAAAACGTTTTTATTAAAATAAATACAGTAATTTCTAAGATAATTTGAATAAATTTACATTAGAAGAAACGTGTAATGACGTTTACAACATTTTACTCTAAATGCAATATATTTTATTATGCACTATTTATAAAGTGTTAATGTCAAAAGTAACTTTCTTTAATAATAATAATGACGTTTACTATAACGTTTTTGAAAAAAAATTTGTTTTATTATATGTTTAAATGTGATATAATAATAATATGTTAAAGATCTTTAAAATCTGAAAAAATGCGTTTTTATAAAAAGATTCTCTTTCCACAACAAACTTACTGGTAAGTTTAACATTTGTTCGAGCCTTTCGTTAATATTTAGTCCTTTTTTTGGACGCATTAATAAGAATATTTCACGAACATCTGGACAAGATCGCAATACTTTTTCGATAAACACTTTACCCAAAAATCCTGTTGCACCTGTCAAAAATACACTTTGTCCAGCGTAAAATGCAGGAATCGATTTGACCGGATCAATTGTCATCTTATTTATCACTTTTAAAACAAAGCTAATATTAACAATAATAACTTAACAATGCAACAGGTATTTAGATACTGAACGACTTGAAACCGTTGTCACTTTTTTTCTGTCGATATAAACATGCAAGAAAAGATTGAATAAAATTTTAAAAACTACTTATGAGTTAAGAAACAGGAAATGATGTGCAGGAATGAGGTTGAAAGAGCAAACAAACAATATATGCGATAATATGCGTGTGCAATAATTTAATATTCGTAATATGGCAGTCACGTAAATGTAGAAAAGATATAATGTAATATATTTTATATTGCATTATGTGTAAATGCCATTTATTATGAAGCGCAGATGCATATTATTGCATATATTGTGTGCTTCCTCTTTCAATCTTACATCATTTTCTGCACATCATTTCCTGTTTCCTACAGCACAGATAGTTCTAGAAATTTGATTGGCTATAAAACGAATATAATTCTATTCGTACGTGGGAAATAAGCGTGTATAATTTACAATTATATAGTTATAATTGTTTATTTAAACTCTACTTATCTCTTCCTATCGACATGATAAAAGTGAAAACGATTCCAAATGTTCAGTATCTACCTTCTGCATTGAGTGATTATATTGTTCATGTTAGCTTTGTTTTAAAAGTAATAAATAAGATGACAACTGATTTAGCCCAGTCGATTTCTATACATTACATGCCTACTGCTTCTCATGCGCTTATTTGCTCAGACGTTTTAATTAATTATTCAATAACTAATGAGAATTTTGCAAAATTGCACATAATTTTTTTTTTTAGTTTGACCTAATCTACTTTCATCTTGGTTATGACTTGCCGAACATCTTGTTTATACTCATAAATTGGTTATACTCATAAATTGAATATATAAGAAGTGAAACGTAAAAATATATCAATACTTTATTTTTATACGTTGATCTTCATATAGTTTTTTTTTGTAAACACACAATGTACTGCAAACAATTATTACAGCCAGTTGCTTATTACGTATGCGCATAACCGTAAGTTGTCGTTTATGTATTTTATTTCTATGCAAATTGCACTCTATTTGATTAATTTTTAAGCTTATACACATAATATTTAACGATAAATATTCAAATATCCCCGTTATATTCTAAATATATAATAAAATATCTATAAAAAGAAAAATATTTTTTTAGCTAAAAAATTATTTTTCTTCTGAAAGCTATGCATTATATGGATTTGATTATCATAAACTGTAGTTCACTAAACATGGGTAATCAGCAATTTTATAATATATAAGAGTAGATCCACTTAAACATTATCCACAATACGCCAGTAGAGACAACAGTTTCCACTATTGTAACGAACAAATGCACTCTAAAAATAGAATAAATGTAATTAATATGTTATACATGTCTTAGTTACTTTGATTATGCATCTTAAATAAGAAATTGTATAAAACTTATTTTGCTATTCAAAATGTATCAATAAATTTACAACGATACTTTTTCTCTTTCACAGGCGTTTTCTGTATTATTTATGTCATAAAATACATATCGACAGCAATACGTATTTTTTGATAAATATTTTACTATATAACCTAATTATTTAAAATGTCTTACTCTAAACTTGTAACAAGAATTTTGAAATTTCAAACATTTATCAAACATTTATCTAAAATATAACCTCCAAAGTTATAGTGATTTTTTTACACATTATAGATTTGTTTCATCCGTTAGTTTCCGAAAAGTGATCGATCGTTTAATTTTCATTGCTATTATATGTTAACTAATATGAGCCGATTTTTTAAATGCGCAAACATAAGTAAACGATAATTTTATAACTTATTCATAACCTATTAATATATACCTTTTACTATGTGCTCTGGCTGCATCCAATCGATTTAAGTCTTCGTGAAGAAGAAATTTTTTGCCACCAATGGCACTATTCCTTTATATTGTGAGATAAAACATTTAATGACTGGGTCTTCATTGTGAACATTGTTTAGAATATAAAAAAATATAATACACTTACTTGCAATATTCTCTAATATCAATGTAGGAATAATCAAAAGAAAACATATCCCTGTTATCAGGTGGTATTGAGGATATTAAAGATAAGCTATTAGTATTGCTGTATTTCCATTCATGGAACGAAAAATAACTCACAGCACGATTGACCACGTACAGTTTTCTCTGCAGTCGTATTAGCCTAATTTGCAATGTTATTCATTAAAATAAAAGTTTAATTATAATGATACGGAATCAACTATATTATTGAATCTGTAAGATTCAAAATCCGCAAGTGCAATTAAAATAGATAGAAAGAATATATACGTTTTTATAGATATATTGCTATGTATAAAAGTTTCTTCTAAATATGTAAAAGAGATAAATAGATAAAAAGAAGAAATATAATATATGCAAAATGATATTCCATATTAATTTAAAATAGAAACATCTTTTTATTGAAAACGAAACATATATTATTTGTATGCGGAATAGCTGAATCTTACTGATTAAATTAAATACATGCAGAAATAATTTGCATTTGCTAAACTAGATAAATATTTAATTTAAGAACTTACATAGGTCGACGTCCTGAGAAATATAAAATCAGATCTATTAATATAGCTGGCAGAATATGCAATAAAATCGTTAATATATAGAACAGTATAAAATTATCGGTCAATATTGTATTAGGAATCCAGACAATTCCTTCCAAAGGCACCTCATCACGCGTGATACTGAATAATAATTTTATACCATCTTGATATGTCAGGTGTTTCTGATTTGTACAGTTTAAAATAAAAGGTGTGGAACCTGCTGTAAAGCTAATAATAAACATAATTATGTATTAATTAATAAACTAAAAAATAAATAATAATAGGTTTGCAATTTATGCAAAATTTTTGTATAATTTGTATTAAGTGTAGAAATAAGATAATATAGATAATGTAAATTGTATAGATAATAAGAAAGTAATTTCCGAAATTTCAAATTATGCAATTCTATGAAATATCATTAAAAATTAGGTATATAGTAAACATTGATATAATTTTAAATAGAGAAAAGAAGCTTTCGTATTTATAATTTAATGTAGTTAAAAATGCATGCTTATATACGTTGATGGTCATACGTAGTTAATCCTAGCTTCCAAGTTACAACTATTATAGCTTTGATGACAATATCTACTGGTACTGCGTCTTCGTTAACGGATTTATTGCAACAGGCTATTCGTATTAATCCTTTTCCGCCACCAATGAAAAGTCCTATTGGACCATAAATATTATCTATCCATCCTGGCATTGGTTCTTTTAGCGATGGCATCACTAAAATATGAAATACATTTGTTAAGTTAATATTAATGCGTTATTGTTATATTCTAGTAATATTATCAAGTTTGCCCATACATTATCAACCGAAATGAAAAAAAAGAGTTATAGAGTTATATAAACATATGTTGTAGAATCCTATGCATATGTTTAGTTTTTGGTTACTTTAATTTCTCGTAAGAAATGTCAAACATGTTAATTTATTTAGTAATAAAGATTATTGTAAAAGACATATTTGACGAACTACATAAATACCAACATAACAGTAAATGTATTTTTAAAATAATTAGAACTTAAAATATACATGTAATTTTCTTTCTTTTTATACTTTCAATGCTTTATCATCTTTACAAAAAATTATATTCTACCGCTATAAATATTATATTTAAAAACAATGTAATATAAAATGGAGATACAAATATTCCGCATACTCTATAACAACTTATAAAGATTTATTTTTGAAAATTAAAAAAAGGTTATGTACCAATGGAAGGTCTTACGATCGCGCAAGGCAAAGAGGAAGAATAATCCTGTATCACACTTTCCGATAGGTTCTTCGAAAATATATACGTGTTGGGAGCGTAATCCAAACATCTATATATAATTTTAAGTGTGCACAAAATTAAAAATTTTAATATCATTAGAAGTACAATATGTGAATAAAAGAATAGTTCTAAAAAGAGTTCTAAATAGATAACTATAATAATATAATAAGAAATATATAATTTAAAAATATAATAATATAATATAATAATAAATTAAAAGTTAAAAAACATACCTAACTATATAAAATTTATAAACGCGATTAGTTTATAGCTTACTTAGCTGTAAAAATGTTTAAAGTATGCTCATCCAATGACTCGGCCATATCTATCATCTTCCGCCAATCAGCTATAGGCGGGTACACTTTTTCTTCAATAAATGGATTATTCACGTGTGCGAATGCTGTACCGACATACACTAATGCCTTTAATAAAAAAGAGGAATCTTTTTTTTAAATTTTTTTAGTACATAAAAGTTTGTATATAATAACAAGATATATTTAATTTATACTATAGATATTGATACATTATGATATTTCAATCATGTTTACATTCTTCCAAATTTATTCTGTTTAAACTGTTATTAAACTTAAAAATACGCCATAATATGTATTTACGAGAAAATTTATGATTGAGATATGTAACGTTGTGCGCAAAACATTATACATAAAATGTATCACGTAACGTAATGCAATGAATTACGTAAAATTATACATGAATACAAATTCACATTCTGTAATTTTTTTTTTTAGTAAACATTACTTACTTTTAAATTCTTCATACTTTGAGCTAAAATACAAATGTCCCTCGTTGCTCTAGTGTTGGAAAGTATAGCATATTTTAAACTGTTATTAAATCTTACACTCGCCGCTGCATGTATTATTATAGTCACTCTTTCAATCAACATTTGCCTGTCTGCAGCCGACAAACCTAATCCTTTCTCACTAACATCGCCCAAAATCGGAATTAATTTCTCGAAATTAGAAGCTCGCTCATCGCGTAGTTTTTCATATAACTAAACAGATAAATTATAATTTATAAAAAAGTTTTCATTACAGTAATAATTCTAAAATATTTTTAATAAATGTACAATATTAGAGTGAAATGGTTAATAATATATTTGCAATAACACATTTTATTTTAAATATATTCCAATATTTTATTATATATTATGTATTATATATTATGTTATTGTTATTGAAAATAACTTTTTTTAGTGATGACATTTGTGCAATTGCAACGACACTGACATTTACAAAAAAAAATTATTTTTACTAAACATTTAAATATAATAAAATATGTATTTTAAAAATCTTACAAATACTGTAAAAATGGGTCGTTGCAAAAAGTTCCACTTTCTATATATAACTTACCGGTAAATCTAATATTTTTTCCAGTCTTTGATTTATACTTAATCCTTTTTTCGGACGCATCAACAGAAATATTTCACGAACATCTGGACAAGATCGTAATACTTTTTCAATATACACTTTACCCAGAAATCCTGTCGGACCTGTCAAAAGTATACTTTGTCCGGCGTAAAATGCAGGAATCGATTTGGCTAAATCAACTGTCATCTTGGTCGTTACTGTATTATTTATTTTATTTTATTACTATTATAACAAAGTTAACATAAATAATAATGATCTAGCAGCTCAACACAAAACTAAGGTATAGAAACACTTGGAATCGTTGTCACTTTTCATTTGTCGATGTAAGTAAAGAATAAATGTTTATAACTTCTTACACGGGCTGCTGCTTACACACGAAATGAATTATAATCGTTTTATAACCGTCAGCCAATCAAACTTGTGGGATTATATGTGCTTCGATAAACAGGATATGCAGATATATGCTTGTATATCTACAGTGTAAGGTTGAAAGTGCAAACATATGAAATATATGCAATAATATGCGTCTGCTTCACAATATATGGCAATAATGTGAAGATATAATACATTTATATAATAACAATTATAGTAATAATAACTATTTGCAGCGCAGATTCCTAGTAAATATTTAAATATAATACTATTTAATTAAATAAAAGAATTGAAAAAAAGAGAGGAAAGAAGAGAAGGAGGAGATGGAAAGTTAAAAGGTAGAGAAGAAGAGAAGGAGAGAGAGAGAGAGAGTGGGAAGGAGAGAGGGAGAGAAAGAGGGAGAAGGGTAGAGAGAGGGAGGTGAAAGGAAGCTCATCTCTTATATATAAAAGTATTTCCAATAGTCATAACTAAACGAATTGTGTGTGTAATAATTTAAACTTTTCTAGTAAAATTTTATGTATACCTATACGTTATACTTATAAGTTGACCGTTATTAATAACCACTTGCTTTTTACAAAAAACATATTGTATATGTTCGTTCCTTTTTAGTTTTATCTAAAACCTAGTCCCGTTTTACTAACATCACCAGAAATCGAAACTAATTTTTCGAAATTAGAAGGTCATTCTTCGCACAATTTGTCAAATAACTGAAATAGAAGAACATTACAATTTACCAAAAGATCTTTTTTATAATAAATCAAAAATATTTTTAATAAGTTTATAATATCAGAATAAAATGTTTAATGAAATTTGCGACAACATTTTGCTTTACCTGTATATTAATCTCTTATTACAAACTACTTATAAAATCGTATTGTTAAAAGTAACTCTCTTTAGTAATTAGACGTTGAACTAGTATTTACCAAAAAAATTCTTTCTATATACTATACATTTAAAGTGGTACAGGGGTACAACGTCGTAATTTTAGATACCTTCAAAGAATGCGTAATTGTAAGTTTCTCTTCTTACTTACCTGTAAATTTAACATTTTTTCGAGCCTTTCGTTAACATTTAATCCCTTTTTCGGACGCATCAACATAAATATTTCGCTAACATCTGGACAAGATCGTAACACTTTTTCGATAAACACCTCTTACCCAGAAATTCTGTTGCACCTGTTAGAAATATAGTTTATCCAAACGTAAAACGCAGGAATCGACTTGGCTGGATCAGTTGTCATCTTATTTTTTTTTAAATAAAGTTAATATAAATAATAATAATCTAGCAACGCAACACGTGCAAAAGGAAGTGAGAAAAAATGTAATGCATCCTGTATATGCATATAATCTAAACTAATAAAGTTTCAGCAATTAGTATTTGTTTATACTCATAATTAATTTATTTATTTCTTAAAAGTATTTCCAATAGTAGGTACACTATATAATCGCATAAATTTTTTAATAAGCACTTTTTTGCTGAGAAAATCAGTAATTATATTACAATCAGCACATAAAAAGCTAGTATATATAATTATATGGATAAATCATTTATTTTATAATGTAAAAGAGTAGATCCACCAATATATCATTCGCAGTATGTAAATAGAAACGATAGTTTCCACCATTGTGACGAATAGATACACCCTAAATACAGAATAAATGCAATTAATACGTTATACATACTTGTATCTCAATTATATCAATTATGTTTCTTAAACAGAGAATAAAATAAATTCTATTTAATCTTCTTAATTAATATATTTCGAAGTACTTATATCGATAATCTCTTCTTATTCCTTGACATTACCTGAATTATTAACATTATACAATACATATTGACAGCAACACGAAATTTATGATTTATATTTTTATAAATAATTATTTACAATGGTTTACTTTATTACTGAGATATCAAATTAAAAATAAAATTTGTATTGAGATTCAAAATTTCCGACATATTTATTTGAGATGTGATTGCCAAAATTGTAACTATAAATCATGTAGTTACTTTTTTAAACACTGGGTTTGTTTTATCCGCTAGTTTCAAAAAGTACGTATAAATTTTATTGTTATTGCATGTTAACTAATAGTCGATTTTTAAATACCACATAAATATGTGTAAATGATACAAGTACAGTAATAGCACAGTAATATGTTTATACCTTTTACTGTGCGATCTAGCTGCATCCAATCGATTCATGTCTTCGTGAAGAAGAAATTTTTTGACGCCAATTATGCTATTCCTTCATATCGTAAAATAAACATTTATTATCCTTAAATTATCTTTATTGTAAATATTATATAGAATAAAAAATATAATACATTTACTTTATGTACTCCCTCATATCGCAATCGAAATAATCAAAAGAAAACATATCCCTGTTATCGGGTGGTATCGAGGACATCACAGCCAATTTATTTGTATTACTGAATTTCCATTCATGGGACGAAAAATGACTCAGAACACAATTGGCTACATACAGTTTTCTTTGCAGTCGTACTAGCCTAATTTGCATGTTACTCATTAATACGAAACGGTTAAATTTTTATAGATGTATTATCATATAAAAATTACATTATTGTATGAATGTTTTCCTTAAATAAATACAAAAAAAAAGCTAGAAAAAGAGATATAAAGAAAGAATACACACACACACACGCAAAGTGATAATAAATTTATGATAAAAAGTATTTTCTTACCAAAAAAGTATATTATTGTTTAATTTGAGAAATTAATTCAATTTTGCCGATTTTATCAAATATATATTCAGGAATAATTTGCGTTTGTTAGTTAAATATTTAATTTAAGACTCACATTGGTTGACGCCCAGAGAATTTTAAAACCAAATCTATTAATATAGCTGGCAGCATATGCAGGAATATCGTTAATATATAGAACAGAATCAGATTGTCGGTCAACCGTCCATTAGGAGTCCAGATAATTCCTTCCAAAGGTATCTCACGTCCGACACTGAGTAGCATTCTCATAACATTTTGATGAGTTATGTGTTTCTGAGTCGTACAGTTTAAAACAAATAAAGTTGAATCTGCAGAAAAGCTAATAATAAACAACATTACAAATTACAACGAAGGATAATTAATTTATTATTTAACAATGTTTGGAGAAATTTGTAGTAAGTTTTAGAAATAAGGCAAATATTGGCCAAATTTTAAGTTGTGTGATATATAAAATATCATTAAAAAATATTCATTATTAACATCATGTTTCGAATATCCGAATTGAACATATTACGGAAATTAGAGCAATTACGTACATTTTTTAAGCAAAAATCGGAAACCCGTTTTTTATTAGCAATTTTTCTAATTCTATTACATTCTTTAGTTCTTTCTACCCCTATTTCATATATAATTCTTTAAAATTCGGTCAATTATTTCCCGAAAAATTGGAAAAATTTCGGAACCGGTTTCCAAAAAGATCGGTAACAAAAAATTATACACATCATGGCAATCCCCGAAAATATATTCTACCCCTACTTCATATACAATTCTTTGAGATTTGGTCCATTAACGAATGAGTAGTTCGCGGACAGACAAACAAACAGTCGGGTTTTATATTATAGTATGATAAAAAAAGCTCTTATTAAATTATTTATATATTTTTAGTATTATAATACAAAGAAAGTCATAAATAAATTTATCCAAAAATAAGAATTTAACCCTAAAAAGGTAATGTGGGGTAATACGTTGCCCCACGCGAAATTCAAATTGCGCCCCTGCCTTAGGAAGGTTAGTTTTCATACCGAAACCCTAACCATAATTCAGTTTAGTCATCCGGCAGTCGACCTCTGTCATTCAGCGAGTGCGTTAGATCCGTGCAGCAGCTGAAAACCGAAAAAGAAAATCGTTTGGGGTAACGTATTACCCCCTTTGGCCGTTTACGTTCGACATTTACCACAGTAAATAATATTTCAGATTTTTCGTGAAAATTGGTAACGAAAAATTATACACTTTATAGCACTCCCCGGAAAATTCTACCCCTGTTTTATATATAATTGTTTAAGATTCGGTCAATTATTTCACTTTTGCTGTTCTTGCACAGCAACTGATTAAAACTTTGTAAAGTTTTTGTGGAGTTAATTTTACTGTTTCCATATACTTTTATAGTTTTTCATCATTTTCTCTACTTCAGATGTTCAAAGAAATATGTTTTTTTTAAGAAACGAAAAAATCGCTTACATGCCCTTGAAGGTTGTCTATTCGTCTTTTAAAATCCGTTGGAATTTTTAAAATCGGTGAATTTTATGAAAAACTACAGCATTTTTTATAAAAATAGTTATTTCAGCCCAACTTTTGGTTCTTTTTCTTGTTTTTCGAAATTATTTTACTGTTTTTTTTTTACTACCGCAAATTGATGACTACTATCGTTTTCCATATTAAAAATAACAAACAAAATTATCTGTTAAAAAGTTGTCTAACAACAAATAGAAACATTATACACGCGGTACAAGTTTGGGGTAATTTATTACCCCGCTTGGCCTTTCACGTATGAGAAAATTTATATTACCTCTCTAGGGTTAATATATGTATAAAGTGCAACCTTTTTAATGCAAAGTAAAAAAAACATAGCAAAATTCGAAGTATATATGTTCCATTGAAAATCGACGAATATAGAAAATAGGCTAATTAAGAGCCAGGCGCGGTAAATAATGCGCAAAAGTTTTATTTAAAAATTTTTACATGTTTTATTCAAACCCGAGCTGAGATAATATTTTTCGCAATGATTTTTTTACAGTTATTTAGATTATTTAGATTGAAATAATTTAGAGGGGTGGGAGGGATTTTACTATTCGAACCGGAGCTGTGTTGCAAGTCTGACAATTTAGTCAGCGCGCAGTCAAGGTTGGAAAATACGTAAAATATAAATATAAATAAAACTTTGGCGCATCATTTACCGCGCCTAACTCTTAATTATCACATTTTCTATATTCGTAAAAAACCAAATATTTGTACCAAATATTTGATTGAGAAAGCTGTAAGTAAAAATCAAAGATTTTATTATACATAGATATATAAAAGTTATATCATTGAACAATTATATTCGACTACCAAATGTAGCATAATGCAGGCATCTGCTTAGACTCGTCTAGGCACTATCCTCCTTAGATTTAACAAATAAATTGAAGAAAATGCATACGGCTATGTAGTAAACATGGATTGAGCTAGTTTTAAGTAAAGAAAGAAAGCTTTTGCGCATTTATAAGGAAAGTGTATTGAAGGCATGCAAAAGTATATTGATGGTCATACCTGGTCAATCCAATCTTCCAAGATACGACTAATATAGCTTTGATGACAATGTCTACTGGAACTATATCTTCATTCAGATTTTTATTACAACAGCCTATCCGTATTATACCTTTTCCGCCACCAATATAAAGTCCTATTGGACCATAAATGTTATCTATCCATCCTGGCATTGGTTCTTTTATCGATGATGTCACTAAAGTTGATAATGAGATTTGATATCACATAAATTTTGTAGATTAAATTATACTGGCTATTAATAAATTCTGGTAATATGTCTATATCTGTATATCTATATATCTAATCTACATATAGTAATTAAATTATTTCTTGCCTACATACATGTCAATCGAAATGATAAAGGAAAGCTCTATATAAATATATCTTCAACTTTTATTACATCTAATTTTTTATTTACTAACATTTACAAACTAATTTTTTATAAGAAATATCGTCAATCTATTTATTTGTTTATTACAAGTAAAAACACGTTTGATGTTTGAAAAGATATGTTTGAATAATTATATTTATATAAATACAAAAATAAATATTAATCATGGTTTACAAAAAATTATATCTTATTTGTACAAATAATTTATAAACCAGAATAAAATAAAATAATAAATATAAAAAATAAATTGGGCATATTCGAGAGTAACGCACTGGAGCAAAAATTTATTTCTAATAATCAAAGAAAGGCTATACGTACCCATGGAAGGTCTTACAATCGCGCAAGGCAAAGAGGAAGAATATTCCTGTATTACGCTCTCTGCTAGATTTTTCGAAAAAATATAGGTATTGGGTATGTAATCCAAACATCTATACATAAATTCAAAAGTATACAAAATTTAGTACATAAATATTATTAAAAATACGATATAAATAAAAAAATAATGCCAAGAAAACAAATTATTCTAGCACATTTAACTATATAAAATTTATAAACACGATTACCATTTATAGCTTACTTAGCTGTAAAAATATTTAAAGTATGGTTATCCAATGACTCGGCCATATCTATTATTTTCTGCCAATCAGCTATAGGTGGATACGCTTTTTCTTCAATGAGTGGATTATTCACGTGTGTGAATGCTGTACTGATATACACTAATGCCTTTAAAAAATAAGAAATTTATTTACAAATTATATGTATTTTTAAATTTATTCTGTTTAAATTATTATTAAACTCAAAAATATGCCATAATAAATATTTGAGAGAAAATTTATGATTCAAATATAAATTGTTGCGCAAGGACATTACCTAAAATATATCATGCAATGCAATGGATTATTTATGAATACAAATGCACAATCTCTGTTACTCTTTTTAAGTAAAAATTACTTACTTTTATATTCTTCATACTTTGAGCTAAAATACAGATGTCTCTCGTTGCTCTAGTATTGACAAATATAGCGTATTTTAAAGTATCATTCAATCTCACACTTGCTGCTCCATGTATTATTATAGTCACTCTTTCAATCAACATTTGTCTGTCCGCAGCTGACAATCCTAGTCCCTTCTCACTAACATTGCCAGAAATCGGAACTAATTTTTCAAAATTCGAAGGTCGTTCTTCGCGTAATTTGTCAAATAACTTAAATAAAAGAACATTTATAAAACGGTTTTTCTTATAATAAAAAACTTCTAGATATTTTTACTAAATTTATAACATAATGGAATAGCATTAATTTAATATGGCATTCGTAACAACATTCTGCTTTACCTGCATTCCAATCTTTTATTATAAAAACCATTTATAAAATTTTATTGCGGAAATTAACTTTCTCTAGTTATAATGTTGCAATAGTATATTTACAAATGAATTTTTTCTACTATACATTTAAATGAGGTACATATATTAATTTAAAAAAATCCAAGAAATGTGTGATTGTAAACGTTTCTTTTCTAACTTACCGGTAAATTTAATATTTTTTCGAGCCTTTTATTAACACTTAATCCCTTTTTCGGACGCATTAACATAAATATTTCGCGAACATCTGGACAAGATCGTAACACTTTTTCAATAAACACCTTACCCAGAAATCCTGTTGCACCTGTCAAAAATATACTTTGCCCAGCGTAAAATGCAGGAATCGACTTAACTGGATCAGTCGTCATCTTATTACTTTTAAAATAAAGTTAATATAAATAATAATAATCTAGCAACGCAACGCGCAAAATAAAGGTATCGAAACACTTGGAATCGTTGTCAGTTTTGTTATGACGAATGATGTAGGTAGTTCGAGGAAACTACTTATGAATAACTTTTATTATGCACTAATCAAATTTGTGGAATCGCTTGTGTTTAAACAGGAAATGACTATCGTGCAGTGTAAGGTTGAAAGAGCAAACAAAGTAGATAAGCGCAATAATATACATCTACTGCTTCACTATACATGTAGCAGTTAAAAAATATATAATGCAATGTATATTTATATAATAACACTTATAATAATTATAATTATGAACAAAGCAGATTGTTTATAAAGATTTAAATATAACATTATAGAATTAAACAGGAAAAGAAATATAGAAAGAGAGAGAGAGAGAGAGAGAAAGAGAGAGAACAAAATTTCAGATTTAAATTGATAATAAAATTGTACAATATATGTATACATGAAATAAAAAAAAATTGTAAACAAGCTATTCTTGTAGAGCTGAAGGTAACAATTGCATTGGGTTTTTTGCAGTTCACGTTGATTTAAGGTGGATAAACATGCTTAGTGCTCGATATAAAATATAAAAATAATATATAATAGTTTGTCATACTGGCGCGTATGATGTACATGTTTGATATAATCATGATATTACTATCACGAATATAAATTACGGAAATTTTGCGGTTGTTTTGGTATAAAGTATAATTAGCCAGAATAAAACAAATAATTTAATTGCAAAAGATTATTAAAGATTTAATATTCATAGAAGTGTCCAGAATCTTTGCAACAAAGCAAAATGTTACAGATAATTCATGCAAATATGTTAATTCTCTTATTTCAAATTTCAGTTTGTCTTTAAGACGTCATATCTCAGACATACGTGTTGTCTGGGTTTGCAGCAACTATAATATATTGATGGAAATGCTACGTAGAGAAAGGAGATACCCAATATACCCATAGGGAAGAAATGTCATATGTTTTGAAAAATGTTAAAGAAATTAATGGCGAAAAAAGTGATTTGGTGTTTGCGATGATGAGCGCTAGAAACCGAAGCCCAAATCCATTTTCCTTCATTTAAAGCAGGAGCAACACAGATATTCAATTTTAAAAGAAAACACTAGATTGTGTCAAAAAAAAGAAATCAATTTGTAAATTGTTTGACAAAGACAAAGAGTAATTACAAGTTGTATGCCAGGAATTTATAAGTTATACTATATGTCACTTACGTAGAAGAATTTAAAGTATGTTCATCCAACAATTCGGTTATTTCGATCATCTTCTACCTATCACCTGCAGATAGGGATGCTGTTTCCCTATAACTTTATTCACCTGTGTAAATACTGTATTAATATACATCTTTTAAATGAATGCCTTTAATAGATAAAGAATAATTTAAAATTATTTAAAAAAATTACATCGTTTTTTTTTAATCTTCTCTTGTTTAAAAAGTTTTTATAATAATAATACATAATTCATAAAAGGACAAATACATATGCTTGATAAAAACAAAACTATATAATCAGGTCATACGACCAATTTTTAATAGCGGAAATAATAATTGTTTACGCGTTTCGACTTACTTAGTCTTCATCGGAACCTGTTTAGTCAAACTGATAAAATTACATTACAAAAAATATAAAATTCGAATACAGTCATGTGTTTTTTTTTTCAATAATATGACTGCACAAATATAATACAATTTGTTTTATATTTGAGATGTAGATTGTTTATAAAAATTTGAATATAACGTGATTGTAGGTATATAATAGCTCTGGAATTTAATAAATAAAGTTTTGATTGAAAATTGAAGTAAAGCGGATTTAAATTGGAAATCGAACTAAATGGTTCATTTATATTATGAATAGATAATAAGAGGAAATGATAGACAAGAATGATAAACAGTTTAAGTAAGTTATGCAGCATAAATTGTAATAATTATTGAATGGTTAATTCTGTCAACTCATTTTGCTTTAACTAAAATGTCTCACGAGTCTATATTTTTTTATACATCACGTACATATTTACGAAAATCAGCACATCAAGAACAGACATTCCAATAAATATAATGTGACATCAATATTTCTTATTTAATAGTGAAAAAGTGAATGGGATCTTATGATTTCATTAATGATCGATGTAATTAATCGATTGACATCAATCAATGTCAACTACACATTTTATATAAAAAAAATGCAAAAAGTGATAGAGTCACTTACAAAATCACGATAATTGTCAATGATGATCAATTGGGAAAATAGCAATACCAGTCCATATCAATATGCAGACAAACTTTAAAACCGTGACTGAACACTGTAGGCTGTTATTCGCTGCAAATCAACATCAGGTATTTACTCAACTTTGCCGTTAACTATTTAATTTACGATCTAGTGTTGGCTATTAATTTTTAGCAGCTATATGTATTGTATCAATAAAGTATTGCTGCTTATTTTATGATTCTCCTGTTGCAATATCAGTGCATGGGATGTGAATAAGTATACTTAGTTGTGCAGAACGAAGAACTGTTGAAAGAACATGTACTATATACAGGTAAAGGCTTAGGTCTTTATTGTAGGGATATACAATTTGTTTCTTAGTATTGTGTTTAAGTTACTTCCAGTAATAATGTTACCGCGCTGACACGTATGCACGGTTTTAGGTAGCAATAAGGGGAAAAAAATAGTCAAAATAGTTTGTGTATCCAATGAAACGAATTCGGGTTTAACATATCCTCCCGAGACTCAGCGTATCTTAATTGTACATCACATTTTTATCTTTGCACGGTTAACAAGACAATTTATTTCCCACGCTCTGGCTGTATAAAAATTTAAACAATTTGCATCATGAAACTGCCACATTTTTCTTAGCAACAAAGATGACGGGTAAGTCAGTAAAGGTATGTAAACATAATTTTTGCAATTGACACATTAGAAATCGTAGATTTTACAAGTATTATGTAAGTATTCCTTTTATTCACTCTGTCTTTTTATTCTTTTTTCCTGTTTATCTTTCTCTCTCTCTCTCTCTCTCTTTTTCTCTCGTCAATGGGTAAAAGTATATAATAATATTTGACGAAATACATCTAAAAAATGTCTAAATATTTATATTTACACCATTTAACGTATGTAATATATAGGGATGATACATGCATTTTGGCGTAACTTTTATAAGAAAAGTATAATGCCTATTATATACTGTAAAAATAAGTAAGGCAAAACTTACAAGTACGCTAAATTATCACTACTTCTTGGAATCCTAAACTATGTATCGAAATGATATTAACATGCATGTCACTAAAATGTAGCGTCAGGTCTCAGGAGGATGTACACAAAACGCGACTCGGATTTCAAGAATAGAATCTTTATATCAGTATTCTCTTTTCAAACAATTCATTTGTGTTCATTCTTCTTTCTCTGCGGCGCTCGCTACTCGTATTACACGTTTTTAAAGCAACACAGACGGATCGGAAGCGATTAATTACAATATCGAATCTCCAGATTGATCCTGCTAAACCACCTTCCCAACATTTCGATAAGCTTATGATCCATACACGAAAAATTGATTGCATCCATCGGCGCTCGCTGATGTGCCTACATAATTGTGCATTGACTTAACACTTACGATATATATATGTACATACACGTATGCAGAGATATGTTGCTGGTTCACTGTCGCAGAGCGTGTTATTTGACAAAGAATAAAAGGAGAATAGAAAAGCCAATGGAGTAGTGCTAATCCACATATTTTTTTTTAAGTAACATTGACATACTATGCATTATGTTTCGATCGTTGCTTGTCATTATGAGCAAATGATAGCAAAAGATTATGCAAATTTAGGCTAGTCCTCAAGATCGACAAAATTCTTACCTGTCAATTAATAAATTTTCTAAAATACAACTAGAGATATCAAATATTCAATTTACTGATATTTCGGAGAATAATTATTGAACGGAAAGATAACATATATCGCCTACTAAAATTTAGCTTGAGCAGAATACTTCATTTATATATTTTACTGTGTAAAAATTCGTTAAGCATTCATGACTAGCGTAACAAAATTTATATTTGTGTTTAAAAGAGAAACATTGTTGAACATTAAAAATTCACAGATATATAATTTAAAAATATTTCTAGAATATTACAGAATTTGATAGGCGCACAGCAGACAAAAGATTTAAAAAAAGCCAATGCAAACTGCTGTAAGAAATTTATTTATCAAGATATAATTAATGTGGATAAGCACTTTCTTCCGGCATCACTCGAGACGATTACGTAGCCATTTTGCTTAGGCATTACAATCTTTTAAGGATGTGTCCTTCGTCAAACAACATTTAACACTATGCGCTCGATGAGCTGTTCTAACAATCCGTTTCCTAGCAGAAATTAACCGCTTGTTCGATTTGTAGCTAAATTTATCTAAATTAAAATCAAAAGGTGTGTGAATTTTAATATACCACCTTTACTTTGCTCCGATATTATCCGAAAAGTTACATTTCAAGAAGCGAAAAACGGAACTATCGCTAGTTTCATATCAATTCTAAATAAAATCTTACTTTTTCAAGTTTAACTAACAATAAGTTAAATATAAATGCCGAAAATTTTCAAAAAAATTGCGATACATAGTAATCTTTCTCGAGTATTTTACTCGAACAGAAAAAAATCTTCATCGATCTTCGCTTCTTCTGCTTCATTCGGATGATATCGGTACAGATATATTAATGGTATAAAAATTGGTCAAATGCACAAAAAGAGAATCGAAGACGTCCCTTATTTCCGGGCTCGATAGCACAATATGCGTATATGCACACCTCTCAGAAGGAATGTCGTACAACAGTGAACCATTATCGGAAGGTAAAATGGCTCCTTTATTAGTATCTAGTACGAATCACGGTACATTTTTCGTTTGAAATCATCAGTTTTGACATCATCACGTGCAAGAAATTGCATTTTTAAGCTGCTTACAATTGAGGTAATCCATGATATAAGGCCCACGTCACTTTCCACTTCGTACTATCGCATACACTATTCGCTAGTGGTACTCTCGATACTTCTTCCCTCCTCCGTCACCCTAAAGTACTTAGAATTAATATATTTTGCAAGCCTGCGCAAACATAAGGTCGAACATCGAACGTCTCCGGCATGCCCGCTGCAATCACTTCACTTGTTTATCCATTATACCCTTTCAACTTGTCGTCAACTATGTTGTATACTATGTGACTACGCTTCGACATATATGTATCACGATACGGATTAGTATGCCTAACACACACGACATTTCGCTTTATATTATAAGTACTTAAACGTTACACGTTCAACCCAGTCTATAACAAACGTTAAAACCATGGTAATGTAAAGGTCAGACGATGAGAAAGGAACCGATATGACGGATTATCGAGATGTTGAAGAGGACGATGGGAAAGTTGCAAATGAGTCTTCGCAAAAATTAAACGAGTTATGATCTCACGGAAAAGCTCAAGAAACAAGAGATACTAATTGAGGGATGTAGAGAGAATAGGACTGACATTTTTGCGTTAATAAGTTTTGGCGATTTCATAAATTATGTCTACGAGTCTAGCAGCGGCTGCGTTTCCGAACTATTCGACTTGTAGATAGTCGGACAATCTGGAAAAACCGCGTTATTCAGAATACTAGTTAACGCGACGAATTTTTTTTTCTATTTACGCGAGGCCGTCACGCGAACGACTTGTCACATGCGAAACCAATTAACTGAGAAATGCCAACTTCCAATAAATCGATTCTGTTCCAAATCAAATTATTCGGAGCAAAACCTAAAAATACGGCTATATTTGACATTCAAGCCAGACTGACCGCAGTTTATTGAATTATCCCATTTTAGAAGGATTAGGCAAATTTTTCTCCATCCGCGTTCGCGCTTCGAGTATAATATATATCCATATTGTAGCGCAAAAAATGTATACATCCAGAAAAAGAAAAATTGACCGGAGAGCAGTGTGTAAAAAAATCAAGTAGAAAATGCAAATTTATTTGAATAACGTCGAAATCGTCGTCGCCTTGCTATGTGCAGATCATTACTCTACTCTGTACAGTCACCGCCGCCAATGATTCCTTTCCTGAGGTATTCTTATGTTCCCCCCTTATCCCAGGAAAGGAATCACTGGCGGCGACTGTACATCGTGGGTTATTCGTGTACAAAACATCGAAATGCAAATACATCTTATTCCCTTAATTGAATCGCGTTACGCGTAATTATCACTTTGCCTCTGTTAAAACGTATATGCATGACGTGATTGAAGAGTGATCTTACGTGTTATATATTCTTTTGGCACCTTGTTATATTTTCACATATTATGATCGTTCAAGAAATGGCCAGGGAGATTGCTATTCTCAGGGACAAACGATATGAAAAGCGCTTTAATTAGTCGCATTTATTGTGTTTTCGGGGAAATAAAGAAGTCGGGTGGATTAGGATCGTATCCAAGAAAAGAAGAACCGAATAACGTGAAATATATGTGACGGCTAATCCATATTTTGCCATCGAATTCGCGTCGGCTGTGAAAAATCTAGCTCAAGCACAACGAAAGACATGAAGGGAACAACTTCGAAGCGCATGATACCGAACTCGAGGGCGACTGAGAGAAAGAGGGGATCGTATCTTTTAACGCTTTTAACACCCTGTGTAACACGCGGAAATGCTAGGAACGATCCTACTATATACTTGACGGTATTTAACGGTAGAAGGGGGAAAGGTGAGACGCTCCGCTAAATTCTCACGGTAACGAACTTCGAAGTATCCATGCTTATATACCATCATTTTAACGTGATACGTAAACCGGGAAACACTCTGTATCTTATATACAATGTATACAGGCTACGACATACAAATATTAATCTAATCCTTGTGCTACTCGATACTTCCGTATAATAATATACCAGTATAACCATTTACTCACATGTTGCGTGTTCATATACATGTATATGTACATGCATATATGTATACATACACACACACACACACATACATATATATATATATATATATAGTAGACTATTTTATACTCGCTCCGTGTTTCGCTAATCTCTACGGTATCCCCTCTCTTCCGCGTGCGCGGTAGAAGACTATTGTAATTACGAAAAATCGGCAACACCTTCGATCCAAATGTAACGCTTAAAATGTAAAAATATTTCCGGGAGATATCTGTCGCGATTGCAAAAGGAAGGTGCGGGAAATGGGGTACGGATGAGGATTGGGCAGCGGGGCGGGATTGACCGGTTGGTACGTAGGTAAACTCTTTAATAGCGATACTTTTTCTCTCTCTCTCTTTCTTTCTCTCTCTCTCTCTCTCTCTCTCTCCCTCTCTCTCACTTTCTCTCTATCTCATCACGCCAAATGTACATATAAGAAAGAAACGTGCTGTCGGCTGTCGACCGCAATCTCGCGATATCCTGATATCCATGGTATCCCGGCGATCGTTCATACGCGAAGGAATGTCACTAAAGCGTCGCTCGCGTTCAGGAAACTACTTTGAAGGAGAGTCTTCGTCGCGCTACGTCGATTGCGATATATATGTATGTACAATGTGCACGAGTTTATATGACCTAGCGTTAGCCAGGCGTAGGCGTCGTCGTCGCGACCGTGGAACTCGTGGAAAGTAAAGAACTAAAAAGGGCGAGTGTAATTAAGAGGAACAGATTGGGATAGATTGAGTTTTCCCTCGTTCATTCTTTTTTAAAGGAAGCTAGTTAAATCCTCGCTATTATATCGACCACTCGGCGCTCTTATTCCGGCGAGCCGGCAATTTCGTTCGGCTGACTCTCCTCCGCGCTAACGACGTACATCTTTCCGCCGACGAACTTCTCGGACGCGAGCGACGCTCAACGCTAGACGCTTGGTTTAAACACAACATGGATCGTTCGTCCTTTTGTATTTTTTCTTTTTCTTCTTTTTTTTTTACATTAACGGCGCACACTCTGCGAGTGTGCCGAGCAAATTCGCGCGTGAATTTGACTCGTGTTTCTATATTATTGTTAACAACAGCAGACTATCAGGTATAACGTAACATTATTTTTTTCTTTCACTCTCCCCCGATGTGTGAGGTACACCGATCGCACTTCGGCGCGTGAATACTTCCAAGGAATCGCCCTGACTTTATCAATACAAAAGTACCGTCAAAAATATCTCTCCCTTACCGGGCTTTTTAGTAATAATCAGGAGTCGCGCGAACGGGAAATTCATGTAAAGTTACCCGGATAATCGCGAGTAACGCTAATAAAAAGCGTAACTAACAATGAGAGGGTAGGGACGGGCGAAACCGATCGATCATATCGTCAAACTAATTTTTCACCTTTTTCCAATCAGTTGCTGACAGATTAATTATTTTTCTTAATTAGTCCATGCTACACGTTATAGGATTTTACTGGAATAATTCTTCAAATTTTATATACTGAATAAATTACCACAAAGTCAATAATTGAACAGCAACTCAGAAGCGATCGAAGTTAATTCGTTGAATCTAATGGTATGTACATACCAAACATGTTCAGTTGCTGCTCAACTATACTGTTCCAGCTGAGTAAAATCCTAAAATTCGTTAATACAAAGTGTTTACACAAAAATTGTAAACGTTTAATTGTCGTTTTATTCATTTATCTTATATATATTCATATTTTTCGAGTATTTCTTTTAAAGATCTTTTTGGAATGCCTGTTAAATTTTTACGTGTTTTAAAGATCACTTCATGATTAAAAAATGATTGGTTGTCCGACAAATCGTTAGAACTGATTAGTCACTAGTTAATGCCCATCCCTACGAAGATATCGCTTGTCTCCTACGAACTATCTCGAAATGTTTCGCCTCTGTTGGGAGGGGCGCGCTTTGATAGTAACAGAGTTATTTTTTATTATTTCGCCCGTTTCTTCGCAGTATCGAAGCATCCTACATCACAAACATCAACGTTGGAAGCTACTGTAGTATCCTGTATTTTTTTTGCCAGCATCCGTGTTCTCTGCGGATTTAGCGTTATTTTAACAATTGCATGTATTCGTAGCAACTTAATAGTCATACGTACCTCCGTAAAAAATAGCAAAAAAATCGCAAAAGCCAAAGTAATCTGCAACCAAAGTTAACTTCTAAAATCCACTAAAATCGAATTGTCCCTAAAAGTGATCGGCTATACACAACTACAGCCTGTAAGCAAGGTTGTTCCAATAGGGGGGTGCGTTTAGTTTCAAAACTCTGTTAGCAAAGTAATTCTAAAAGCCACATTGGATATAGGTCTCGATGCAATTGCGAAGGCTACTTTATCGCTGCCATCTTTTTAGGTACAATCACAGCGAATGTATGTTCATTCAATAAACAACGATTCTTGAAATTATTTAGAAATGATAGAAAATTTGTTTAATGCTTTTAAGTCGTGGAAAAAATATAAAAATATTACATCTACACATGTGTAGCCTTCTAAACCGTCTGAATGATTAAGCTAATGTTTTCGTTGAAAAATTAAATATAATTTTTCTGCAACAGACGAAGATGCGCATTTAGAATTCCATGGCATTCAGATTCTTTAAAAGCTACAATCGGAAATATCAAAGCTAAAATATTCAGAATTTAGATAGCGCAGAAAAGGCTGTAAAATTTGCGCAATTTTTTACATTTATACAAATCAGTATGAGTGGCCATTTCAATGTTTCAAAATTTTATAAAATTTATATTGTCAAATTGAAGTCGTTTTAAAAACCACTTGTCCATCTCTAAAACAACCAGATTTAGAAAACGATTTAAAATCTTCTTAATTTATTTATGAACCGTGTAATGTTTTCTAAACCGTTGTATCTAAAAATGTAAATAAACCATCAGGAAATTTCGTTGGAGAGATGTTCCAGAAAAGGAGCAAACTTCCGAGAATTTTTTCATAGGTGCAACAGGATGCAGATGCGAAAGTGCAAGCAAATTATATTTAAATAAAGAAAATGCAGATTCGTTTGTCGTTTGTTATAGCATATTTGTATGAAATTTTTGACTTTTATAACGAAGATTCGGTCATAACGATAAATCTCGCGGTAGATCCTGGTCACGCAATATATCTTAATACATAATAACGTTTAATAGAAATATAAACGTCTTGAATGCAAATTTGTAACATCGTCATCACGCTGAAGTGTGGTATTCATTGTTCTAGAAAATTTGTCGATTTTGTAATTCAGGTTCCATCCTCATGATATGAGATAATTCTCTCCAGTTAGACAGTCCAAGGAGCAAGTAAAAGAGAGCGTAACATGTCGATTATATCGTTTTATCATTTTTTAGTCAATCACTAGCAAAATTTTGTGTTGTAGCCAAATCCTCGATTTACGAGTTTCAACTAGAGCTGTCACACCGCAAAACTGATAAAGCTGCCGTAATAACGCGAATGTTTATTCATAAAAATATCACTCTTAGTTTGTAAAAGAACGCGACGCGTATCTCGTCTATCTACTTGCCCCTTTGATTTTAACATCCTCAGTTCCTACGTGATCTCAAGCGTGTATAGATTCAATCGATACAAAAGTCTCGCGAAACGTCTATGGGACGTTTAAACGCGACTGAACAAGTTAAATGTCCATTAGATGTTCGCGTGAAATTGGCGAGCGTACGCTCGGATCGCTCGTCTTGGAGCGAACAACCGCGCGATTTTACCTGCAATATACCTAATTTCGTAGATCCCGTGTCGTTAAACGCCGCACCGGGCGACGAACGAGGCGGACACAGACAAGGAGAAGAGGAGGGAGGGAGGGAGAAGAGGAGGGTGAAAATAAGAGGATCGGCATCAGAGTGTGTGTGTGTGTGTGTGTCCGGCGGAGAGGCTGCCCGATTTCGCTACGACGGAAGACTGAGTCTCCTCCGTAGCCGTTTGCTCCTCTTGCGGACGCGGATTGGCCGCCGTCGACTATTAATTTCTGCAAGATATCAGTGCATCTCATCGCTCTTATCTAACGCCCGGTCGTGTTAAACGACGCGTTTATAACGCTTGATCGCACGCTCAAAAACGCTTGACAAATTAAAGGTTTGTCGTTATACCAACGATAACGATGATTCGTCCTGATCGTTGCTCGTTAGCGCGCGACGATAGCTCAACAACGGGCGATAACGAGAATGCCTCGAATTCCTATTCGCAATTAACACGTAATCGGCACTGCTCCCCGACGACCAGCGTCGCTAAGAGTGCCCCGCGCGATGCGGAGGGGATATTGTACAGTCGTCGAAGGGTACGGTACTCTCGTCGAGATCGGTTGCGGGTGGAGGATATCGAGCAAACGAGGAGAAAAAAAAAGAGTTGTCTCGTTAACATAACTTTGACGGGCGACGCGTCCCGAGGGGGAAAATCCGCCCGATAGAATATCATTTGTCGTCGATCAAGGTGAGGGTGTTCTTTACTCGGGCTTCAAGCGATGCCACTGCACAATGGTCTGCCTCGGCTTTGTGATCATGTCCTGCCAATGTTTCGTTTCGCTCGCGCCACTTCCATTTTTTCCTGGAAAGGAAGTTACACCGTACACTAGACACCGATCTCCAATTTCAAACTGCTATCTGTTTCTATGACGTTTGTTTACACCGGGTTACTTGATTACGCGTTGAAACATTAGTTACTTTGGCGCAAAAACATTAAAGTTTCGAGTACAAGCTACGTTGTATAGCTCTTGAAATTCTGGACAGTTCGGGTAAATCTACACGTGTGATATATGTATAATAGCTATGTAGAACGTTCTATGTAATTTGATAATCTTGACAATCTCTTTTAACAGATGGATGATAATTTTGAAAATTCCATAAAAACAATTAAATATATTATGTTCAACTTTTAAGCCTATTCTTAAATACGTATAGGTAGTATTAGTTTTTTGAATATAACTATATTCAAAAATAATAAAATTAAAACAGAAACAAAAAAATTCTCGATATTTTGAAAATAAGTGTATTTGTTAACTACCTTCATCAATTGTAATTAAGAAATTTCAGAATTTTTTAACTCAGTAATTGATTACTTTAAATATAAATATATCGGTGGAATAGATTGTTATATTTAAAGACACACTATTGAAAAGTTTAAAATACCTGCGAGCTGAATCCGACCGATCAATTCGTTTCGTCCAATGTTGTCGAAATCCATCACCATTACATCCAAAGAGCATTCCCTGATCTTCTCCCAAGGTACATTAAAGGAGAATACCTCGTTAAATACTGGGTTCAAGGTGCATTTGAAAATAGGAGTCTTGCGTTTCTCGATCCTTTTGTCGCCAAACTGTAGCCACACTTTGACGTACGGATCTGAAAATGTAAATGTTTAATTACCCACCCAGTTTCTCATTCTCGCGATTGTAGAAAGGTATAATAACAAAACATTGCCGTGCACAATACGTAATGCTTTTTAACTCAAAATGCAATTTAATTCGAAAGAGGGTATTATTGCGTTCATATACGCAGCATCTCAAAATGTATAATTGTATAAGTTTCCAAATGCGTTTATTTTAAGTGCTATGGTTTACCGGAAGATGCGTGAATAATACGGTGAACGTAACATTACCTGATTTTCCGTTGATATCCTTAGCTTTGAGATTCCTCGCCTTCAAGAGAGTCAACGTCAATATGGAATTACTCGGATGATAGCACAGCGAGCACAAGAGTTCTCCGCATTTATCTTTAGCCGGCGGCTTAAGAGCTTTCCAAAACGATGGTTTCTCGGATAGATCGACCTATAATAAACAAACCCGCGAGATATCGCTGATAACTAAAGTTTCGTAACAGTTGTCAAACTAATTAACGAAGCAAAATTCCAAAATATAGAACTTATTAACAAGGCAGGACGAGGGATTATCTTTCTCTATTATATGTGAGTATTAACTAATTTTCATAGATTATTAATTCCATAGCTAAACAACGTGCGGTATCACGAGCATATTCAGAAATAATGAAATCAAAACATACACGAAAAGTTCCTCATGCAGGTGTGCCCTTCTCTATCTATCTTTCTCACTCACTCTCTCTCTCTGCACATCTTTATTAAAAATTATACGATATCTTTTTGAGGCGAGAGGAGAGCATTTGTTATAATACCATTAATACCTCCGTCACGTTTGTCTTTAATTAGGGTATATAGCGAACACGAGATAATTAGTATTCTGTTGGAAGTGATCACGTGCGGACATAATAGTTAATTGATATCATATGTTGCAAATTACGAAATGCGAAATTTTTGCAGCATAAACACGCCTCGAATTGCACGAATTACGTCACGCCTCGCGTGATACGAATCGGTCATTTGAAATTTAATCCACTGTCGAAACAATCGCGTTTGAATAAAAAGAAAATTATTTCAGATTATCACGTGTTTTATTACTATTATTATTATTACTAATAAATTGTTTTATTATGGTTGCTATAAATGTCCATATAACATTCTTGTGTATGATACTAATCTTTCCGTATATACATATTATATGCGATGGCGGTGCGTGAGATTCGCGCAACGGCCGATTCGCAATGCCGGCATGTATCACAAATTGCTCTTGGGAAATGAATGTGTGCATAGGATAGAATTATCACACGCGCGTGTCTCTCGGTGTTATTGTGCGCGCAGATTAATCCACCGCTCGGTAATATTGATATCAAGCTGAAATTGTGATGTTATGTGGTTCCCTGACACAATTAACAAATTAAAAATTTCCACATGTGAAAAATGCTTAATTACTAGAAATTCGATCGATCTCACAATATTCTTCAAAAATGTATTTTCAAAAGAATCTAGATCTATTTCAGACAAAATAATATTGTTTAGTAAGCTTCACAGAAGCAAGTTTATACATATAATTAAAGAAAGATTTTGTAATGTTTAGTATATCTAAAAGATACATACATAAATATCTCATATCCAAATAAATAATATACTTTTATGTTACATTGTAGCACATAAATATAAAATATTGGAACAAAAGAATTGTTACATAAATGATGTATTAATTTATTTTAAAGTAAAATAATTGTTTTAATATCTTGTTACCGATAATTATTAAAAATGCAAGGAGTAATTGCATTTTTTGGATCTTGTTGCAAGTTTCTGTTCGTTATTTCCCCGAAATAGTTAATGCAGTGGTCAACTCGTTCGTTGAGCGATAATTCCACGATGGCGGATTTGTTTTTTAAACGGTAATTCCACGATAATAGTTACGAGATAAGAGTCCGGAAGCCGACTCCGGGACGCAAGACGAGAGACGCGACACGTGCAACACGTCAGATTTCACATATCCGTCGCGAATCCTATTGCCGTGGCATGCGAATCCCTTAATCCGCATCTACCGCGTGGTAATAATTGAACCGCGCAAATTGCAAGCAGGCACGTCTTGCTAAATTACCTGGCAAAGCGGCAGAAACATTTCCCCTATGGAGTCGTCCCTCGAGAATCGATCGTAGTCGAAGACGTGTAGATGTAGTACCCTACTCTGCAGCTTCTGTATAGGGAAACCTAGGCAGAGAATCGACATATATATATAATGCTTCGACATAAATATATAATGCTTCGTTACATTACGATCAATTCGATTACCGATCAAATTCCATCGCACTTTGTTCCTATAATAAACGTTTATAAATATAATTTGTAAACAATCCGTCTTTTGTATCAATAAAATATTGCTCTTGCATTGAATTAACATTTCAAAGCGTACTTTGACGTAAGTGACGTTCCTCATTCACAAAGGAAAATTAGATACAGCAAATTTACGTGGTATTCCAATTTTTGTCTTGCTCTAATTTTAAGTAGAAGATTGTATCAGGTCGCGTTGTTATTTTCAGATTGTTACGGTTCGTTGCGGTTTCCTTAAACCGGCTTAACGCAATCAGATACAACGTCGTCCGTCTCTTATTCGCAACGCGAAACAAAATTGCTTTGCATTTATGTATTTCCGCGCGTTTACCTGTGGAAGAAGGTACGTTTTAGCGGGCCACGCAATGCGAGGAGCATTACCGAACACACGCGCTTACCTTCGAAATAGAACGTCTCGTTCCATCTCGGATTCAACGTGCGCCTTTTGATTTTTGTCTCGAGTCGGTGTTTCTTGTCCGGGAGCAGCGTCACACGTACGTACGGATCGGAAGTGCCTGACAAGTCCTTCGCCGGCAGGTCTTTACCCTGAAGCAAATCGGATATCGATATGAGAGGTGACAACGGAATTTTAAGGAACAACGAACTTTCTGTCGCCCCTTAAGCCGACGATTACATGGAATATACACTTTCGTGTACTTTCGCGTCAAGTCTCCTCACGGAGAGTGAAGTTTGATGTACATAAATCTCTCTAGACATACAACTCCACGCATAGCGCCTGCATAATGTGATAAACAAGGCTGGATTTTCCGCTCAATCATGCTGTATATATGTATGACAGCGGTAAATGTTCAAAATTTTTTTAGGCTTATACGAATAAACAGACTAAAAAGGAAGGGACACTACAGAATATAAGATAAGAAAAGGAGACAGCTAAAGAGTGACGACACTTGAGCCGCTTTAAGTGATACGACTCGCAATGTTTTGAAATATATAAGAAAAGAACATTTTATTCCATATAATATATATGTCAGCGTACAGAATAAAAATGTGTATAAAAATCTATGAAAGTTGAAATCCAGCTTTATTCATATTTATATGCATACGTAAATAGCTGTTGTTTCGTCCAAAATGTTATAAAAACATGTGCATTTGTCTACCGAAGACTCGACGGAGATACATGTCTTTGTTTCTGTCGCATCTTACAAAGCCATCGTCTGAGTCTCTCAAAGTCTATGTAAGAGAATTCAGTGTGCGCGCAACAGCCTCCGTGTGATATAGCTGACATCGTGACATCGTCCTGAGACAGATTGTGAACATGTGAGCGGGCCTTTGTGCGCGCAACATAGTCGATACTGTTAATGGGAGCTACGTGGTCGGCAAACAAAATCAATAACAGCCCTTAACGGCCTTGATGGCCGCCTGTGTTTTGAAAAATAAGTCCTGCCCGAAAGTGGCCCTCTTTCCAACTTTTCGCGATGGCTCGTCCGGTTCGAAAAGTCGCTCGTGGCCTTGAAGGCATTTACGTCGGAGGTGGACACGGTCATTTTTCATTTGCCTGTCAGACCGTTTCTTGGAACTTCATATGCCGACTTAAATTTCTCGCGAATGATTCCGTGCATTTAAAGTATCGCAAAACTTTATGAACAAACTTTGAGATTATATGGAAAGTTAAAAAAAAAAAAAAAAAAATGCGTGGAGTGCCCTATCTAATAAGTAAAAAAAATTCCCGCGAGATTGCGAAGGTACTCTCTTTCCTTTATTTATGAGCCATTAAAGATAAATTACATCCTGTCGACTAAACAAATCCTTCATCATCATTTAATCCCAAGTTTGCTAAAACGCGGAATTCTGATACTTAAAATAGAATATTTGGCGTTGATATTAAAAAGAAAATTAGAAGGTGCAAGGAGAAATAGCGCTTGGTCAAATATCCGCTGAGGGAAAGTCGGTTCCAAACTGACACAATTTCTAACTATTGCTAACTATAAACGTAATATTGTGACATGTGTGTGCACATTACACAAATATTTCTATAGGAGAAATTTCTACCTTGGAGTTTACAAATTACAAAGATATTGGATGTGAATGGAATAAACGAGATGTCTTTGGTAAACGGTTGGTTTGGCATTTCGAGTTGTCGCGACAAATTTTCATACCACGAGAAACACGACGAGAACTCGCGAAAATAAGAATTTTTAAGGACGAAAGCATGTTTCCCCGCTTTATTCATCGGGTAGGTACATTCCGGGTCGTTTATGATGCGCGTTAGCTGCGAAAAACACATTTTGCCCGAAATTAACCGAATAGTCCGAAAAACAGAAATACCTCGCGAGAATCATGTTGAGCACGCGTCAAATTTCACAGGAATTAAGATAACAAGATAACGAGATAATGTAAAAAGTAAAAACGGCTGTTTTTAATAATTTTGCAGATCTAACTCTTGACGTAGTAAAATTAAAAATACATATAATAAAATACAAAGTTGCAATGCGTCAAAGCTCTCTATTAAATAATTCAACAACGAAACGATTAAATATTCGTCAAGGAAAAGAGGTCGGATGCAAATTGAGTGAGAAATGAAACTTTTACCGGCACATGCTTTTTCGATAAATTGCGCGATAATGCTACGCGTAATTCCATTATAATTTTTTCCCGGTAAAAGTGGCATATAGTTGTATCCTCGTGGCAAGAAGCAATTGATATTACATCATAATTTCATAATAATAATGCAATTTTATATGTCTGTACGGGATGAAAAATAATCCACGGACAACACGTTGTACAATGTAAAATTTGTGTGTACGTGTAACGATATTAATGTATGATCCATATACTCAGAGGTTGCTCTTCACCCAGTGAGATCTTGGCACGATAATTTTCGCTGTGGAAAACAAAGAAAACTGCCCGAGTGTTTCGCTTAATGTCGTATTAAATCGCGCGAGGCGAACGCAGTTCAGCGTTTGGAAAGAATTTATGCGTTTGTTTACAACAAAAGTCCCCGTCCCGTTGAACTTTTTCCCCGAGCTCGTCGAGCGACGAGTTTCCAAAACTACCCCCTTTCTCTCTGCCCCTGCTGTAACAGGAAATAATGTATGACGTCCCAGTTTACCAGGATACGTATTTTCGCACACGTATAGATACATTTTTCGGCGTGGCAACGCGTGTCCCGTCGACGATTTATGACGGTCCTTATCGACGTGGCCGTAATGTAGCGAGATAAAAATCAAGCTAATGCGCCCACCTACATCCCGGTTTTACGTTTCCGTAGCTTGTGTCGGAACACAGGCGTCGACAACGAGAGATATGCGCATATCAATCTTTTTACATAAGAGTAACAGGGTTGTATGCAAAATAGCTCAATAAAGCTAATGTATATTTATTCCTAAATATTTTTGCTCCGTGCTTTTTTACCCAGTGCGAACATCACTAATTGGTATAAACGATCAATTTACTCGCGTCAGCGATAATGACTCTTTGAATTTTGATTCGATTAATTATTCTAGTAAAATAATACTAGTAAAATCGAAAAATTTTCGCCCAAGGAAATAAAAGAGGTGATAAAATAAAACAATTATTTTTACTTTTTAATATAATAATTCTTTATTTCAATATATTTTTTAGAATAAATTACTTTTTTTATATTAGTAAAAAAAAATATTCTGAATTTTCGGCTTTAAAATGGTTTGACACCGTGAAAATTACTTCTTCATTGCTGGTAAATTTTTTCCACGGAAAAATCGGATTTCAATTTTAAAAGTATCGTTTATTTTCAACATTATGTTATAGTTTCAAAATTAAAATCCAATTTGCGTAAAAAAGAAACTAGTAATGAAAAAATAGTGTCCAGTAATTTACCAGTAATTAAAAAATAGCAATATAAACTATTTTGAGAACAAAAATTCAGAATATTTTTTTTAATGTATTGAAAAATAAAAATAATTTATTTCATTTTATTACCTATTTTCTATTTTTGGACGAGAAACCTTTTGAATATTACTATACGTATATTACGCATTCTTATACACTGTTAAATAATAGGTGAAATTGTAAACTAATACCTTAAGTTAAATAACATGTTATTTTTAACTACCATGCGTGTCAAAATTTATTATTTTAACACAAAACAGTATCATTCTCACTCCATTGGTTTAGTTAAATTAACATTGTTTTAGTTAAATTAACGACATATTGAGTAGGAGTAACTTAAAAGTAGAAATGGTTAAAAATGACTTAAATTGTGTATAATTTGGCACTATGAATTTAACAGTGTACTTGATGAATGTAAATTGCGTCGGTGTCACGCATAATATATTATTACGATCCTAATATGAACGCAGTGATATTCCAATTGCTTGCGATCGACGCGTGCGTCACACGCAAACAGCGAGCGATATCGAAATAAACGGCTTGCAGGCATGTTTCAAAGAGCCAAGTTCTAGCGCATCCATGTACGAAACTACGACTGACCTGTATGATGCGCAGAATGAGCGTGCTGTTCTGGAAGTCGTACTCGAGACTGAAGTGGATCTGGCCAACATTCTCGCTCGGTTCCGAATTATCGATGTACATGTCGACCAAGGAGATGGACCTGCTCTGTAGAAACGCTTTCTGCAAAACACAGATCGCCAATGCGATCATTACTATTGTTTCCTTTTCTATTTCGTGAGAGGCAATTCTTTCCACGGGATTCCTCCCAGAACGCATTTTGCTGAGAAGGATACGGTGAAAGAGAGAGAAAGAGAATTTGTACTAAAACGCAATCTTCTTAAAATCGTATTATAAGAAGCAGGTCTAGGAC